TAAAGGTTCCGCCGTGAAAGATATAAATGCATTTTGCCGTTATAAATTTGAACGGATGCGGAAGATTGAAGCAGAAAAAATCCTTCATCTCAGTGGAGCTTTTATTGAATTTTTAATAAAATAAATCATCTCAATCTTTCAGTTTTTCCTGCGCTTTTTTCTTATACCACGTTGCAGTTGTGTATGCGCGTGCTGATCGATATTCGCGAAACTTTCCAACAAGTTTAATAATTAAACTTGCCGCTTTGTTTCGACGAATATCTGGGAAGGCTGTGACTTGTGTTTTAACATTGCGCACATGCGCATTTTACAATGGTAATTACGATGTTTGTTATCTGGCTTCCAGCGCGCCGCACCACACTCTGTCTAAACTAATATTGGCTCTGTTCTCACACGCCTTGTGATGACAACAAAGTTGCTGCTGCTGCTCCCAAGTCGATCCAAGTTTCACTCTGTGTGTATAATCATGCATGCCGAAGCCTTAATTGATTGATTTGCGCGCATAGTAATTAATAATTGCTAATCTACGCCTACGCATATAACATTAATTGAAAATGGTTCGATGATCGGACATGTGGGTCACCTAATGTGTTATAACACTTGTAATCGAAAGGGTTGCGAACACTGGGTCGTAGGTAGAGATTAGGCTCATAGTATGATGAAGGTGATTAATGCGTCCTAGTCAATTAATTAAATTAGTGAAGACCTTTGTGACCCGCCGCTCGAGGAAAGTAAGTACCGGCCAATATATCACCGAGGGTATCTTGATATCCATTCCGTTTATATAACTTTAGTTTACTCAAGTGTTAGATAGCTACTTGTTATATTCTTTTCGGTGCACGAGTTGCACGACTAGTCGAATTGGGGATGTTATCGAAGGTGCTGGGGGTTATTACAGTCGGGCAACTGCTCCAACTTGTGCGGGCGAATATGGCCCGCGATCGATAGTAGGGGTAGGGGTAGGGATGGGCATGTCGAAGCACAGAGTATCGGTGCAGGAGGAGGACGAGAGGTGTCTGGATGGGAGACAAAGAGCGTCGAACGCAGTTTGCGGGTTGTTCTGGTTGCTGGTTATTCCCAGCAGCGTGCCTACACACAGAAGGGCTAATATTCCTGAGACGTGTTGCACCCTGCGAGAAGGACCGGCTTCAATTGGATGTTCGTTGCAATGGTAACGTGGAATTGGTTTGAGATGGCGAAGATTGCGCCACCGACGAGTGGATATATGAGCGGGAGAGCTAAGCGTGCCTGATGGTTGTGTCACTAGCGTTTTCTATCAAGTCCGAAGCGGCCCATTGGGATATATCTTGTGACACTGGTGCAAAGTTGCAAATTCTTGCAGTTGAATCTTGTAGGTGATAAATTACACTCGAATTTACTGTGGCACTACACAAGTTTAGAACTGTCTAAGTGATATAACATTGTAATTAACAACCGAGTGGAAACAATACGTCAAAATTGGTATCGGAATTTGTTTAATCGAGGTTATAAATTGAGGTGAATATTTAATTGAAATCTATTTTATTTTCAATTACTGTGCTGGGTAATCGTAAAGTTTACCAATCATTCCGCCCTTACAAGCGCTTCAGTTTAGTTCATTTCCGAGGACGCGTTTGATGCCAACTGCACTGCATACATGGTGTTACAATTTGGTCCTAATCTGATTTTCTCGACTGTTCCCGGGTTTGTTTATGTATGAGTGTAGATGTGAAGTACATTACTGGACCTTTGGTTTATTGGTTTGTATCCAAATAGAGTACTCGGGTAGATGTAGAGTGCCCGCAGTGGAAATGTAAGGAGATATTTGTCAAAATTGTGTTGGATGTGGCTGGATTTTTTTCGTAGGCGAAAGATTATTCATGTTTGCTGTTGGGGGGCTCATAGTCTTCCGCCCGCTGTCCAATTGGAAAGGCTCTCATGTCAGTTACACCAGATGAGCAGTCAGGTCGTGTGTGCGAACGAACCATGGCGAAAGCGCCATGCCACGTCAGTAAGCTTTCACGTCGGCCGCGTAGCTTTTAGCGTGCGGAGAGAGTTTGAGAGTTTGGTTTATGTAGCGTGGTTGGTTGGTGTTTCAGCGCGGATGTGGGGCAGAGAAGTGGAGGAGAACTAGTACATGTCGGTTTCTTGCCAGCATTTATCCTTGTATCGAGGGCGTATGCGAGTTGCTTACTGGTGGTGGTGGTGGTTGTTGAGGGTGGAGAACGGAAAACAGCACAATACCATTGTCTAATGTTCATTAATTGAAATATTAGCGTCACACCGATATGATATGAGTTGAATAATAGTGAACAGCATATTCTATTGTGAGCGTTTTAATTTAATTTCTATTAATAACAAATAACTAATATAAATGATCCGGGTGCAAATAGAAATCATATACTGCCAAAAAATCTGAAAGAATGAAAAAAGCGGTGAAAGCATTTTAATTACGGGGTAAATACATTAATTCTGCAACAAAGGCCATTCATGTCAAATTAAAACACGCGGGTTGTTTCGTTTTTGTCGTTTTATTTCGCAGCATTGAGAAATTTAGCATGTTCAAAGGACGCGCGCGCCCGCTCTGCATCCAGTGGCACCTGGTGTTTTATTCATCCTTTCATTTTATTATACATCCTCACATTAGTGTTTTAGTGCTGAGCTTGCAGAATTACGTTAATCTCCTTACTCTACTTTTGGCCACTATTGCTTTATTAATGCTCAAAAGTAGTATTTTGCATTTTCAATTTCCAAACGAAAAAGGATTTCTTTTAAACTTGAAATCAGTGAAGATAAACCGCTGTAAAAGCGCGGTGCACCGCAATACTCCCAGTTGTTGCCTTTAAATATTTAATTCTTGTGTTGGCTAGCAAACAAAGGCGTAAATTATTCCGCGGCCTGCTCGTAATGCCGGAGATGAAAAATGCGGAAAAGTTTGGATTTAAAATGCAAGTGGCGCAAAACAATCTAAATTGCTGTTTATGTTTTGGACATAAGGTGAAGTTACAGAAGTACTCTGTTTTTGCAAGGTTGAACTTTGGGTCATATATTTAATTGTGAAAATTTCAATTAAACCCGAGTATATACAGTGTGTAATTTATTCAGCAGCAAATGTTAATTTGTAGTTCAGTGCCCAAACAATTTGTATTTGATTGTGCAATATGTGAAGTTGCAAAAATTAGGTTTCTTTATTTCTATTTGCAATTACATTTCTCCCAAGTTCCCCCAAGTGATTTTGGTGGCTAGTGGGATTAAATTGGAAGCATTTGTCAATCAATATCAGCATTCATCTTTTGTATTCCTACATTCCGGCACGTCCATACAATCGTACATTATCGTCCCATTGTGGCGCTGATGATGATGATGGTGATGTTTAGGGTGTTGTTGAGAGATTGCCGCTCTTAACAATGAACACTCTATCACATATATCAGATTTCATTATATTAGCTATTTTGCATGGGAGCAAGAATCAACCCTTCGTCAAATTCTTGTTTATCTTGGGTATTATGTTAATATTATTATGAATATTACGCAGATATAGATAAAACACATTGTTTTACGTGATTTGCGTCGGAATATCATTGTGAGATAATCCGACACACTATTTTTAAGCGCCTGTGAAAATAATAATGACTCGACATTACTTCCGGGAATTATAATTAACTAAACGTGAATATTTTAGACGCACACCAACAACACACCCCCTCACGGTGAGAATTTCCGACCGAGAGTTGTCTTTTAGTGCCGGGGCGGACTGCGTTAATGAAAATTTATCATCCGCACTGTATCAGAAGAAGAGCGACTTGTCTTAGCAGATGGATCATTAATAACGGCGGGCTTAGTTCTTGTTGCGTCGCGAATAGCGGACACAGAGCTGGAAAAAAATGACACTGTGGCAGAGAGCTTCAGAGATAAACTGGGACCACTTGTATGTGTTTGCGCTTTTTTGTCTAATGATGGAGGAGAGATTTGGTCGGTGCTTGTACATTGATTGATTTACCACCGTTTTAATTTGCATAATGCGTAATTTAATCTAAAACGAATTTAAATTGGACAGAAAATCATTCTTGGTTGTGTTTTGTTGCTTTTTATAGGCAATTTTTTTATGCTCAGTAAATTTAACTGGGTTAACCCGAATGGCAGTAGTTGGGGGATAGGCAGCAGCCACCGGTGGTTCATGTGTTATCGCTACAGCCATCAGGGGTTGGTCGAGCGCATTCGAAATGGACGCTCGTTTTTCTTTTCCGGCCAGAGCCTCGTATTGGAGATGTGTATATAGGCTGAACGGCCAGGTTTGAAATGTCCTGGGAAAATACATTATTGATCATGCTTTTAGTTTTGGTAAACTTTTTAGTTTATTCACGATAGAATTGAAAGGCAATCGAATGGAATCGGGACAAAATCAACCAGTGCACATTTCCAACAACTTTGCGTTTTAGGTTTAATAAATTATTTCGTAGTTTTGTATTTTGTAGTTATCCACAAGTTGTAGGTACGAATTTTGGAAAGAAATGGAAAGGGTTTGATATGAATTATTCCATGCACATTTCACATTAAAGAGATCTCTCAAACAAATCAAATTTGCTGCGGTCGTCTTTCGGCCCCGATCGGTTTACTAGGTTCGCACGGTGTTGAGAGATGTTGCGCTGACGACGGAGCTACATTCTCTGAATATCAAATATATTTAGTTTCCATTTGAATTAATATCACGCCGTGGTGAAGGGTCAATTGCAATACGATGCAATATTTTCGTTCCACTCAGGCACACACACACATACACACACAACACACACACACACATTGCGTAAATCAATATTTATTCGAGTATGGTGGATATGCTATACAATCTACCGATATTCATAATATAAGTTGAAACTGAACTCGTCATTAGTTTCACCTTCATTAAGCAATGCCATTTGATATTAATATTGATATTGATATTAATATTGTTTTTATTTACACTCCACTTGACTGTAATGAAGAGACTGTAGTTGTTTGCTAACGGAGAGTGTATATTTTAGTTCCAGCTAAAGATAACGCAAATGGCCGCCCCCAACCGTTGCTACAAGAACCCCATTACGGTTCCAGACCACAACCATACAGTAAGTATATTATTTTGGCCGAGTGTGTGTGTTGTGTTGTGTCGTGTGTGCGTATTTTTTCTACTCTTGCTACTGCTGGTGTTTATTTTCTTCTCGAGATAGAAGAAATCTATCTATCGCCATTCGGCGACATTGTCTCCACATATTCTTTTCGCACTCGCTCATACGAGCGTATAAAACAATATTGTGTTTTCTTTTGAAAATGTAACGATTTTCCGATAAAGTTACAATTTCTCTCCTCCACTCTTTGGATGGTCTCATTTATTTGGCGATACACGTTTATTTATTGACACGCGCCGAGATCGAAATAGTTTTAAACAACGATTGAGCATCTCGACGTGACAAAAGTTTTCATTGCTTCGCAAAGTTACTGCGATACTGTAAAGTTGGCGGGAAGTTTTCATTTTTGATTGTTATTCGATTGCAACAGAAGCGCGGTAAATTGAAAGAAAAAATAGGGAAAGTTTGGCGTCGAATGGGGGATGTAATTTATGAAAGTATGTAGGCGACATAAGTTCAACGAATCATTATCGCAGAATTCAATGCGTTATCTACAGTTGAATGATTGCGTTGCATTGTATTTTGTTGAGAGCGGCAATAATAATGCACAGTGCACAGCAAATTAAATGAATAGAGGTCATTTCCTAATAAACACATCGATATGAATTATTTAATAGTTGGCCAGAGGCGTATTTTCCTAGATGTTGCATCATAGGTTTTTTTTATTGGCACATTTTTTTGTATTGTTTTAATTACAGTTTTAAGTTTTATGCGGTGAAGGCTTTTGCCTTCATTATTTGACATTTGATAACTTGATAGAGAATCGCACGATAGAAATAAATAATATGATATTACGAGACAGTGAGTTATCTGATATGTTAAAAAAACAATCAAAAGCTTTCTGGAAGCATTATTCATACTAATACCTTATCTCAATTCAAAACAAATAGTCTATATTCTGTTATTGTTAGTTAAATGATGAGAATTCTTTAGGATAGAAGTTTAATAAATAAAGAATTCTAACCTATTAGGTCAAATGTTCGAAGACAATTCCTTGAGTTCGGAATTGAGTTAGGAATTCTAGTTGCGATGCAATTCAACACCCGGTAGGTTCCAAATTGGAAACTAGTTATGTATGGCTAAAAGTTGGAGCAACTTTAATGGTCTTAACGGTTGCGCACCGTTTTCAGTGCGGTGCATTCTGCAATTAAGACTAAAATTAATTTCAAATAACTGTTTATGCACACCGTCACTCTAATGGTTATTAAATTGGCTGGCGCTTAACTAGTTTCCCTGTGTCGTGAGGACGCAAATAAACAGCAGCCGAAGAAGAAAAAAGTCGCTGTAAAGTGTGTTTTGCCATCATAGTGCAGATTTCGCCGACTGCTTGAAACTTTAGTTGGAAACTAAATTACAGGAAAGCGCTATATTCCGCTTTGCGAATTTGGGTAGTAGCAGCGGCGGCGGAGGCGGCGAACGATTTCGACGATACGTTTCGCTGCATAATGTTTAAGTTTTCAACCCTGCGTTTCTGTGTGCCGCGAGTTGGGAAAACGCAACTGTGTGCGGCAGGAAATTAATCAACGAACTTGTTAGATTTTCGCCAACATTTTCATCACCGGACACACCTTTGTAGCACCAGCGCCACCCGGCTAGAATATGACTTGATTAGTGTCGTATTTATTAAATTACTGCTTTCGCTGCGTTGTGCGAAATGTGTTGTAGCCATTTTCAGCCGGACCACCGACGATGAGCCGGGCGGAAATGAAATTGGAAACTTGGATGTTTTACATTTTGTTTTTGCGCGCACGAGTGGCGATTGTTTTAATTAATTTTAGTTTGGTTTGTCATGAATTTATCAAATTTCCAAAATTCTCTTCTTCCGCTTCCATTCGAGCGTCCGTCAACGGTCAAAGTGATATTATAGCTGTTGGCGTGACACGGCGGAAGCGTCGACACGAACTTGATATTTGGAAATAACTTTCCCAACTTTGATTGACGCTTTCCATCCTGCGGATTTTCGAACTCTGCGGCGAGCCGTTTACAATAGAAGACTAGACCACCGAGTAGAGCGAGCATGTGAACATGGCCGAAAATTGACGCACATTATGACTCCGCCAAGCGCACACCGAATCTAATTAATGCAATTTGCTTGAATGAAATTGACTGAAATGGAATCTATCCGAATATTATGTAAAGTTCCACACCATGTCGCTTCTGATTTGTTTGCGACGAGTGACACGCCGTGCATGCACCATGCGGCTGGTTATTAGTGCAGTTTCTGTCACGCCAGAGATTGATGGTGTTTAGGATGCGTGCCAATAAATATTTTCGCACTTATTCATTACAACGTGTTTATCCTGTTCACCCGGCCATTCATCGTGCGGCATTACAGTGAGTTTCGTACGAAATTTCGCCGTTGCGAAGAATTTCGAAAATGTGTCGTCGCAAATATGCCTGCTCCTTGCATGTCTCACATGCAGTGGCAAAAATTTGCAACTGATGAATAGTTAAATTCCGCGCGATATTTTACATACCGCGTACGTGGCGATATTAATAGTAACAAACAATTTGTTGGTGCAAGTTTAGCGTATCCGCAGTGCATTGTCTGGTCGACAAAACGATAAATCGAAAATAGACTACGATTGAAGCAGACGAACGTTGAACAATAGTTTTTGGATGCTGCGTAGTTGTTGAAGTTATGAAGCGTTCAAGCTAAATTTAATGCCGAATAATCGCTTCATTTCCGCGCCGGACAGTTAAGTATTTCGGAAAGTAATGTCGGGAAACGCGCGCGCGCGACATTAGCAAATTGGTAAATTCTTTGCATGTCCACGGTGGCCGACAATGCCCGCGAATTATTAATGCGCACGCGAAAGTGAGGCGTGATCAAGTGGCGTTTTTAATTATCCGAATACGGTTCACGCAATTATGCGACGTTTATAAATTAACGCGCACGGCGAAGTCGAGCGGAGCGGTGTGACCGCGCGCCACCAGACGAAAATAATGAGACTGTGGCGAACAAAAGCTGAAATATTATGTGCATCGAATGAAATATAGGATGTTGGGATGCCGCTCGCGCTATCCTTGATAAACGATGGCCGCCGGGGCAGATTGAGTTCTTTATTCTCCGCAAGCATGCACTAGATTTTGAGCGACGAATGAAGCAGGACAAGTGTGTGTACGCTGTGCGCGTTCCAATCGTGAGCAAGACGGCAGCGCGAAATGAAAATGAGTAACGTGCTCGTCGGCGGCGTCGTCATCGAGTCCGCTCTTCTCACTTGGCAAAGGCGCTCGTCATTTAGTGTCAGGTGCACTTTTAGCCGCCACGCCGTGCGAATAATAAATGACGCACTCCGGCGGACGTATGTGTATGTAATTAAGCGTAAGTGCGCGGAGCACGCGGACTAGTTTTCTGCTGGCACTCCATGGACAAACTGTTTTTTTCGCTCTCGCTATTGCGACAATTGTTGTAGATATATTGCTGGTGGATATTTCTATATTGAGTTTATATTTAAAAAACGCGTTCAGCAAATAGCGACGTTTAAAGTAGTAGTCATGGGAAAATAGACTTGGAACTCTCTAGTAGATCGATTTTATGAACCTCTTGAAAAGGATCTTTATACAAGATAAATTTGTGAATCACGAAGTGGTTCGTGGAACATGTGTCTTTGGATTGTTCTCGAACTTTTGATGTTGAAGTTGATATTGTGAAATGTAATGATTCTTTAAACTTATATTGAACTTTATAAGATTTCTTCCGAATATTACTAACATAGGAATTTTCTATTGATATTAAGGTTTTTCTTTCTGTTAAATTATATATAATAAATTAGTTTTGTGTAAATCAGAGTATAAATACAGGAAATTATGATAATGTAATACTATAATACAGGGTTATAAAAAACCTTTAAAATACTGAAAGTTCTTATTTAAAGCCACCCTCATAAAGATAGTACCAAACAATGAAAACGAATCTGTTGGGCGGATATAAATTTGTGTGGGTTACTGTGTAAAACCCCACTTTGGCGTTTCAGAATAGATAATGGAAAATTCATGCGCCGCGCTTCTCGACACGCAATATTCGCCAAAAACGCTAACTTTGAGTTGAACACCCGCACAATGCTGTTATTTGTGTTCGTATGCTCGGATTATGCATTTCGTATGCGCTGCATGATGTACGCCGCCTGTTGGTTTACGAGTATATCAGAATATTTGCGCCGTACAAAGCCAAATGACATGCCGGGACAGAAAAGAAAAGGCATTTGTGAATCATTGCTCTTGCCATCCCACATGTCCTTCAGGTGTGTGGCACGTGGCATGCGAAATAAACACGTTTTTTACGGATTTAACTAGCATTCCTACTTGTACTTGTCATTATTACGTATTCAAGCAGTGAAATGGCAAGTGGGAAAGTAGGAAGCTCCAGGACGTGATGTTGTTAGCTAGTACATATATGGCGTGTGTGTATATTAGAAATGTTAAAAAATATTTTAATTTGGTTTTACATATTTCACTCGCTGCCATCATGCAAATATGGGCGCGCGCGCGTGGATGTGGTGCTGTTAAAAAATGCAAACGCAATCTCATTGAGCAGTGGCACGGGTGTAGGTCGGTTGGGGAGTTTTATTATCCGCGTGCGCGTGTTGCCCCATTTAATCCAGGTTGAGGTCGGAGTGCAACTTTTGCAAACCGGCGAAGGGACCGACCAGTGGGTATATGCGATTGAGCGAATGCCAAAATGTCACCGGTACGCACACCTCAATGTAATCAGATAAATAAGTAACGGTTTGTTAAATTGAATGCGCGCTTAAAGTGCACGGGACGCTGTGATTCACTTTGTATTCACGTGAGGCGAAGTGAAATAATAAGCGCAACAGTATTGACGGCACGAAAATACCGAAACGTTTCGTGGGTGCGCTCGGGATGATCTAGGCGTGTAGGTGTGGAGCTTCGACTGCATTATAATTGCAGATTTTGCACGATAGGAACTTCTTCTTGTCGAAAGAAATTTTAAATTAACTATTTACATAGTCGTCTGGCAGCGATGTGCATTAATATTAAAATGGTGTGATGATTGAAGTTTTAATTTGTTTTTGTTTTACATGTGTAGATCCATATCCAAGTGAGCAGGCACGTTACGAGGACATGTGCGGCGGGGGAACCGGTGGTCCCGGATATGGCGAATCATTCACAGGTGAAACATACAGAAAGTCTGGCGCCACGGTGGTGACGCCCGTCGCCACCGAATATCGCGATCAGCGCAACTTTCAGCAACCCGGCGCCGTGCTGATGGTCTATGGCCTCGATCCCATACGCACCAACGCCGATAAATTATTCAATCTCATGTGTTTGTACGGAAACGTGGCGAGGGTAAGTAAACCTTTTCGTACGCGAGGGACATGAAATCACTTAAACAACTTTCGCGTGTGTGTTTGTGCTTTTTGTTTTCGGCTGCGTCTTCAGATCAAGTTTTTAAAGTCAAAGGAGGGCACCGCAATGGTACAAATGGGCGACGGCGTTGCGGTCGAACGCTGCGTGCAATACTTGAATAATGTCAATGTGGGTTTGACGGGGGCGGCGCCTGTCTGCCACAGCAACACCAACCTGGACGAGGTGTCCGCGATGGAGCACAAACTTCAGCTGGCGTTCAGCAAGCAGCCTTATCTCAGTGAGGTGACGAATCCCTACCCACTGCCGGATAAGTCGCCCTCCTACAAAGAGTACATCACGAATAAAAACAATCGTTTTATGAATCCGGCGATGGCGAGTAAAAATCGAATTCAACCACCGAGCAAGGTAAACACGCTGAGAGAAAACAGGAATGATTCCAAATGAGTTTTATTGAAATTTTCACGCGTTGAATATGAGTCCGAATGTGCAGTTTGGCCGTCTGCCAAATGGATTTGGATAAATAAATGCAAATGCTTTGCAATTTATCGAGCATTAAGTGCGAACTGTAACGACGAAACTAATTTATTATCGCGTGTTATTTGCAGATCTTGCACTTCTTCAACACACCGCCGCAGGTCACCGAAGAAGAGTTGATACAGGTATTCAAAGATTACGATGTGATTCCTCCCAAAGCAGTCAAATTATTCCCCATGAAGTCGGAGCGCTCCAGTTCGGGACTGCTCGAATTTGAAACCACGACGGAAGCTGTCGCCGCCGTAATGGCGTGCAATCACGCCGCCATCGAAAGTCCAGGTATAATTTTCATCAGCCATTTCAGCCAATTATACAATAATATCGCATCGTTAGACTTAATTGCTGTCATAAATCGTACCAATTAGACAGCGTTTGCATAAGTTGTTATCAAATAAGTTTGTTTTGTGTTTCTTCTAGGCACAAAGTTCCCATTCATAATGAAGCTGTGCTTCTCGTCGTCGCGCAGTATGTCCATACGAAATGGCGAGAACAATTCCAATGGCTCGACTGACAGACGCATGGAACAGGACCAGTAAGACATGAACCAGTAAACTACAGCTACATTAATTCTCCATCTTTTCGTTTTAATTCTCTTTAACAAAAATCTGCGACACGTGAATGAGAAATGTTGAATTTTGTTGACGTTTGCGCCATAATGTAAAAGTCGGATGATAAAATAACGCGAACCCCAATCGGAACTACAGAAGAAACAAATTGAAAATGAATTACATATCTTCATACATCACAACATATTACTACTACTGAATCATATTTATCGTCGAGAGGAAAATAGAGATTTATTTATTTAAAATTTAGTAGCACGATATAAATAATTGATATATAATTTTTATCTCATCTTAAATTTTAGTTCGATGTGTAAACAATTCTTTGTTATTGTAGTGTTTAGTATACGGAAGAAAAGCAAAATATTCCGGTGTTGTTAAGTTGTGAATTAATGTTCATCAGGCAAACTGTCTCTCTGTCTCTGCGTGTTTAGTTTGAACTTTGAAATTAGCTAAAGCGAGGAGTGACGAACGTCTCATAGTATTAAAATCAAGAATGAAAGCATGCGGTCGATAAAATATTCCAGGCAGGCGAAGTTTTGACGCAAATCTAGGACATCACCTTTGCGAGTGCAATAAACATTTTTAGCTACACTCCACACAGTGCACATGTTTGCCGCCGAATTCCTGGAGTATTTTGACCGAGAACAAGCTTCTACGGAGAGAGGTAACAAGATAAAATAATACTACAAACAAATGCAGACGATGAAAAAACACCCAACCGAAAGTTACACACTTATCGCAAAATTTTGAAGAAGTTAGACAAATAGTACGTAATACATATCGCTAATGATTATAATTAATTACATATTTAATTACGGTATTGAATGACAAACAAGACATTTTTGACTAGGTAGGGTTTATCTAACGGTAACATTTAACAAAACAACATTGCAACGAGTTTTATTAGAATTATTTATTTGTATAGCTTTAGCGTTTACTATTTATAATGAGCGTGGAGGATGAAGGCAAACATTGATATCGGCATAATGTTTTAGTGGCGGTTGACTTGTTTCGCTATCGGAAATATTAGATACTCTCCAGGACTAATATATGAACAGATTCATGTGTGGGAAAAAAGTATAAAAGACAACGCAAATATTAATTTTAATATTACCAAGAATTGATACACGAGAGTATTTTTTATATAAATCTGCTTATTAGGCGTACACGAGATACATACATTAAATAAGTACATTATTTCACACTACCAATTCCCCCTGGTACCAAATAGAGTTTTAATATCTAAAGGTAATATCTAAACTATTAGCGCGCGACGTATTCATTATTATAATATTAATATTCAGCAATTAAATTGCCAAAGGAATGAGATTCGCGGGAATATGGTTGAATTCACGCCTAAAGGACCCAAATTTTAACAAAAACACATCTTAGAATAACAAATATACTGTTTACTGTTTTTTCGACCAGTTTCATGCCAACCAATATTTAAAAACTAACTAATTAGATGATATTTTTTGAATCTTTAAAGAGTATCATTTCAAACCACAAGTATCAGCAACTTGTAAATATATATCTCAAGTAAATACATCACAATTCAATTTTGCCAACTGTATTTAAATTTTAAAAAGAAATGCAGAATGAAACATATAAAGAGATAAACTACTTAAAGAATTACAAGAGAGATTTATTAATTTATTGATGGATTAAAGGAAATGTGTCAAATTAGTGCAATAATTTAATTATTTAAATAATTAACTTGGAAATTACAGTGATCTCTAGAAGGTTGCGCGAATGTCAAGATTTCTACATACATTTCATGGATTTCCAGCAATGACGAAAGTGGAAATATAAAACATATACATATTCGAAAACATATCAGACAACAAAAGAAGTTTTAATTCGTAAATAATCATTTTAATATCAATTGGCTGAGACGAAATTTGCACTTTTATTCGATATACTTGCTTGATAAATTTTACATCAATACAACATAAACCTACTAAACACTTGCATATAATAACTAAATGTTTTGAGCTAAATGTGCTATCAATTACTATGACGAACGCAAATCGATGGTAAAGTAGGTTTGGGCGATAAAACTAGCTTTCTTCAGTGTTAATTTTAAACTTTCGTCCATAATTATTAAATTAGATGAAACAAGAATGAAGAGCAACCAAAACGTTACCTGCGAAAATTGTATAGGGATTATTTAGGATGTTTTAATGAAGGAGCGAACATAAATTAAAGGTTCATCACTTTTATTAGTTGAATGTCTTCCTACGAGCTTGCGTCTTAATTTAGATTTTAGTGAATAATCTACTGTGTACCTTACAAACGAAAAGAATTGGTAACTGATTTGTTTTCTCTCGTGACTATCTTTTTGACTGTGAACGTATTAATTTGTTGGTAGCTTTCGAGATGACCGCGGAGGAAATTTATTAGATTGAGACGCAAGTAGTTAACTCGATGTCAATAATAGTAGTACTTTCTCTGTCTGTAAACTCTGTAAACTTAAAATTTTCACACATTTACACACCCACAATACAAATTTGCAAACAATGAAACACACTAACAACACTTGGAATAACGTACACACAACACGATCAGAAACACATTGAATTATACAAAAGAAAAAAGCGAACAATATCTTTTAAGACAAATGTGCAATAACAATATTGAAGTTATGCAATGTGCAACTGTGTGTACAAGATGAAGACTTGTTTCTTCACCTCTTCCTTTTCGAATATCGACTATACGTTTTATGTATGTAATATTGAACTCAATGAAATGGAATCTAGAAAATACATATTATGAAAAAAAGACAGTTAAATTTAGGATAGTGTATCATATCATTATAGTATTAAATGAATCAATCTCGAATGTTAGTGCTTAGGTAAGAAAAATTAACGAATAATTAAATTCAACCCGATGAGCGTGGACGAGCAACAAAACGAATACGACGACAAAACAAACGACGTGTCAAACTCTTTCATTCGTTTGCAAGTTATTCCAATCACGCGAGAGGACCAAACACAATCGGGAAATGTAGGAAATATTTATTAAAGTAATTGAAATCGAAATAACATATTAAATAATTAATAGGGTACAACTAATTGGAAGACGAATGAAAGAGTTTGCTGCGTTGTGTGCGCATTGGCGAAACATGTAAGAGTCTCAACAAAATTTAATTATTTAACTAATTTTATATGTTTAGATGGTGATGATTAGGTGATATTTGACAAGTTTTAATGATTTTTTTGTTTGATTTTTTTGTCGGAGGGAAATATTAACGAACCTATTATGTGTTGGTTAGTATTTTAGTATTGTATAGTAATAGATGTCCCGCATGGAGTAAAAAACACTAAATGTAATAGATTCACGAAAAAAGTGCGCTAGTTTCGTATGTTTTATTATTGTAATGTTACGCAAATTGTTTATTTCAACTGTTATTTCGACTTATTTGTAAGAAATTGGTACACACACTCTGGTATATGTGTCGAAGATTGTTCCTTGTTTATTTAAATTAATTAATGATTCGATTGATGCCGTGTGAAAATTGAGCGATGATTTTATTCGACGAATGGTTGAGGATGAACTGAAATAGATAAATGACGACATTGAAAATAACAACAACAACAACAACAACATCAACACAAACCACCGACATTTGTGCATCCATACACAAAGGAATGACAACTTTACATCTACAACATCTTATACCATACCTATTCTAATACATCATTACATATAATATGCTAAAATACATATTAAAATTATTATACTATACATATAAATAATTGTACTTGTCGTAATGGAAAATATGATAATGATAAAAAGAAAACACAAGAAAGAACAACTTAGTTGAGTCAATTATCTGTGCCTCTAGCTGGTGGTAGTATCTTTTTCACACTATGACGTGTTTCAGTTTTTGTTTGAGCAAAGTTTTGTTTTAGTAGAACACATTCTCACACACATTTGCTAACGTTAATTTGGTATTGCGATACTTTTGTTCCTTTAGAGCACCTTATAATTAGTCAATACTAAACTAAGACTTCCGTTGCTTGCCTTGATGTCATCGTTTTTGTTTAGCAGTCGCTGTTTTTGGAATCATACCTGCCTTTTACACTTTTGTACGCTTTCGCTTAAGAGACTTCATTTACTCGAGAAGTTACAGTACCCACAAACTAACAACCCCTCAAGCCCCAAATGAACCAATTCCACTTGAATTTACAGCAACCGCAACAATGTATAACAGCACATCATCAACAACATCAGAACAACATTACCTACATCAACTTATACTTAAACTGTAATTTTTATGATTTTTTAATGCCTCTACTACTGGACCTGAATATCCTGTTGTTTGTCTCTGTGATACTCTGCCGCTTGGAAGCACGAAGCGGCGTTTTATGCATATAAAAGACAAATTGTTACTTATTTATTAATTCGTGTTTAGTTCAGTGTTAGCTATAGGGCGTTAGATATTTGAATATTTAGAAATTTACTGTTTGTTTCCTCTTTTTGACTATTTATTAAGTTTAACTAATTATTATTATTATATCTCTAGAGTATAGATTAGTTATTTATTATATCAATTACGCGATAGATTTTTCAATTAGTTGTAAAACACTCACAGAGACTAAACTCGGATATGAGTACGCCAATCTCGAATGATTCACCATATTTATTTTTCGTCCCAAATCACAATCAAAACAATGAAAACCCAATACAATAAGAAACATCATGTTCTTACACGTTCAAAAATACATCAATATTAATTTCGAATTAACTATACAACATGATTATACTTTACAACCGAAAACAAATCAACAAACTGAACCCACATCTGCATATAAATACAAAACTTAAGACTCATTTCTGTTTAAAAAGAAATTCACGTTTACCGCTTTGGGTTCAAATCGTAACGAAATGGACTAAAACGTGTGTAAAATCTTTGAATCGAAACAACCATCACAACCAACAAGAACGAACAAATATAGACATATTGACTTTTTTAAAGGGTTTAAAAAAGTTTTGAACAAAAGTATATAAACAAACAAAATAAAGTAAAAAAAAACGATACATTATTTTAAATGTATGATGTATTTTCTGAGCTATGTGTATATAAAAAATAATGTAATTATATACAAAAGACGGGTGAATATACCAAACAACAAAAGAACGAAGAATAATGACAAACAATGACAACTTACATTGATGATAACAATTTAATAATAATTCGACAAGTATTATATATAAATAATTACTAAACAAAAAAGAAAACGCGTAATGATATGCCAAATCGCTAGTAATTTGTATTCGTAACCAGATTTATTGTTGTTGAACGAAACCAAAAAGTACAATTATTATCTTGCCCGAGAGATGGTGGAATCTGTTGTTCGAAAGTCATAGGCGACAAAAATGCATCGTGGTTGTGAAGACAAATTAACTAGGCTCAGTATTACTGAAAGTCAATTCGTTTTTTCAAAGTATAATAATTGTTGTATATAAGTTATAATTGATATGGATATATTTCAATTGCTGAAATAATTTAATGATAAATGATTATGATATACATATATGAATTAATAACATAAATATAAATATATATAGAAATATATATAAATATAAGTAAAGTATAAGAATGAGTGAATGAAGAATATAGAAATATGAATGACAACTACGGTGAAAATAATAAACGAGCAAAAATATGTGTTTTTGAACTTGTAAGAATATCCTGCAAACCTTTCAAAATAAATAATGAACTTGAATATTGAATATAAATTGTACACTATGAAGATTGGCTTACGTTTTGAGCCAGCAAATCAAGGATTCAGTAAAAACGTTTGAATATTTATTTCTCTTATATTGTGTTTCTAGGCAAACTCTTTAAACTTGTTCGGTTATTATCATCAAAAATGCAACAGGTAAGTTCAATTTTTTAATTAATATCATTTTACTTTGTGTTCGGGGAACGTAAATAACAATTTCCCTTGAAACAAAAATGTGACCAATATTTTATGTTAATTCTACGTTTAAATCAAAATTATAAAGTATTGAATAGTTTATTCTGAAGTGACATGTATAAAATAAAATCGGCGTGATCTTGAACGCTAGCATTGTTTATGTATTTTCGTGTTTTAACACACTACGTCACACCACCCCGCGCCGCAATCGGCTTGCGTTCCTGCATCGCTGCAAAATTATCAGTCGGGTCGCCACGTTTGCTGCAGCTGCATCTCCGTTGAAATACCGAAACTTAACTTAAATTTAAACTGAAACTTTGTGGAATAGTGCTGGACGAACATCGTTACACAACATCATCAGGAGTAAGTTTCGTTTATTACTTTGCTTAATTGTTAAAATCATTATACTGAAGAATTAAAGATAAAAGAAGATAAGATAAGGGACCACGCGGTATTGGTTGAGAATTTGTTAATTATTGAAAAGTAGTTATTACATTAGAAACAATTGCGTTTGTTTATTTTATCGGCTAAAAGATTACAGGAATTTGTAATTGGATTGTAGTGGATTCAGTATTTAACGCCGCCGAATATTTTAGTTTTACATATTAATATGCTGGCATTTTTGTATGTATGTGTGTGAGGTGAGTGGCGTGATTGCAAGATTGGTGCGCGCGTCGTCTTTTGCGCGGTCACGTTATCAGTTGTTTGTTTACTTTATACCTCTTGCAATCGGCGCGTTTCTGGAATTCGGTTTAGAACTCAAAACACTATTCGCGTGTTTTTAATTTTATACATTTTAAATATTCAATTGTTTTTGGTATTTTTCTATACTGATTATTCTTTCCGCTTGACTTTCAGATATCTTCAAATTTTATATTATCTGGCGTTCGCGTATGTTTTCGGATTCGTGTACTTTAGACTTTAACAACTAATTCGATTTCACCTAAAAGTATTAAAATACGAACATATCGATTAATTGAAAATCCGTGTGCGGGACGCTATGCATTCTATGTATTTCAATTTCAAACGTGAGAGACTTGCGTTCAAATCACCGGATAGATATCCTAGGGGAGTCGTGCCATGTTCCCTTTACACAGTTAGGGAAAGTACGTAATAATTACAAAATTTTGATATATCGAGTGCGTGTCACGAATTAAAATTTCGGAAGTATCGCGTAATTCGCGTATCTCTTCTCGCGAAAGTGCGTGTTAATTACCAACTATTACGAACATTCCAACCCAAAGAAGGATGTCGAGCCCAAATCCACTTCAAGCATCCTACCAGCGTTTGGACACAAGTTCGGATTAAATATCGACGCGTCCTCCTGAGAAACTGACGAAACATCCCAGTTTCTAGGAGCCGGGTGTAAGGTAGGTGTGGTGATGACCTGAACCGGAGGGTAGTCACGAGTGCCCCTGACTGGCGGATGCGCAAAGCATTTTGCTGCCTATGCGACAGCCGAAGGGGAGGATCTCTTGCGGCTAGGTCCTTGGTCCAGGGATAGTCCACCCAGCATTGCTAGAATCGCCGGATGTCTTTAAGTAGTGAGTACACCTGACACCAAACTGGATGTCTTGTATTTATACGCGGACATTTATGAGCTAGTATTCAAGTAATTCGTGAAATTAACAAAACAATTAAGTAGATTAGATTAGAATAATCAGTCAAAAAATAAATAAAAGTTGAAAAGTGTAAGTCAATTTTAGTTCTCCTAGGTTAATATATCAATATGTAATGCAAAATTAATTTATTTATGATTTACATTTCACCTGTAGTAACAAATTATACATTAGCATCTTCACCGATATTAGTACATATTCGTAGTTATACGGAGGCTAGTAGGTTGTCATATTTTATATATTGATTAACTCATTTATAAAATGTACTTGCTACAAATAGTATTTAGATGTTTAAAATGTGATCTGTACATATATAGAGATTTACAAAATTTGCAAGAATTGCTTCACAAAAGTCAATCTCGTAATTGTTTAGAATCTGTAACGCTGATTTTAATTGCATCTGCTTGCTGTGCGTAATTTATACAAGTATCGGTTTGTTTGTTTCGCCATCCTTAGCTACCTATCTATTTATATAATGTAAGGTCATGAATATATCTATTTCGTAGATAACCTAATTTCTCACCTAGAAATTTAACTTAGCGTATTCGATATCCTTCACCCGCTTCAATACTAGTTCAGTACAAAATATAGGTGTATGTGATTATATTTAGTAATTATAAATTCAACAATATTTAAACTATAGAAATGCTCTAGGAAGATATGTTTGATTTTGGTTCTCAAATTGTTTATAACATAACATAACTAATTTAAGTTGCCTACAAAAAGTATCTCTTGATTAATTTCCGTATAGGTGTTTTTTTGTATTGGTGGCCAATCAAACTTTCACTCCGAACAATCTTGTACAACTAACGATATACTCCTGGCCATTTTTTGCTGGCCGTTTAGTCCTCAGGAGCGGCCCTTTTCGACGTCTCGTTTTTGACTGCCTTCTTTACTACGACTGCCCGCTGCTTCTTTTTCTTGTTGCGCCTCCATTCTCTTTTCGAGGATTTTAATTTTCCGATATTTTTCTATTTAACAAACATTAATTTCAATTAATTGTCTTAAGATGAGTTTTCTTGAAATTACTTACTGGCAACTTTGATCATTATGACTCCCCACCATATTGACCAGCCCCATCCGACGAGACAAAACAAAACCGTAAATAATTGCCCAGCGCCGATAAATACGTTGATTATAAATGATCCCACTCTTGATTTGGGATCATCTCTTTGTGAAAAGCGTGGTTTACCCATGCACAAACAAAACAATCCACTGAAAACCGTTCCTGAACAAATGAGATTACAAAAATTAGTTACCAACACTTTGTACTACAAATTGAGAGTTATTGAACTGTACCTGTTCCGGGTGCAAAAATGTTGAAGAATAAACAAAAGTATGCCAACGCGATAGGCAAAACCGGAATGGCCGCCTTCATTGTTGAGGTGTATTCAACCAGGCTGCTATCCAGTTTGTTCTTAGGATCCTGAAAAAGTTAATAGATGGCGTTATCGCTAATGTAGGGTAGTAATGTGTTTAAGTGTATGTGTATGCATACTTATTATGCGCCATTTTTATTTGAGTGTATTTTCATTGCGTGCATAATCAACGCGCATTATATGTGGCAAGGTCACGCGTGTGGGCAAATATTGGAAATGTTTTACGTATGTTTCTCGAAGCCCTCAATTACGGAAACTTCTAGAAGGAAATACCTACCTCTTGTGGTATAACCGTTGGTGTTAGACTCTTCTTTTTGGATAGCAGAGAAGCTCGACGAGATGCTGCGTCGTCAATTTTTGGAGCTGCTGGTGTTTTTCTGCAGCAACGACATCCCGCACATCCACAGCCACAACAAAATAGGAATTTGAAGAAGTTCTTACATCGGTCCCTGTTTACACAAAATTTTATTTACTATTTGTAGTCAATTAGGTGGTGTAGGTTTTATTTACCCTGCTGTTAGTGGGACAGGTGCGCTTAGAATACTATCCCTTCTTTCAGTCCATTTCTCTTTCTTCTTGCCTAACCCACAGCAACCCGTTGTGGAGTCACCAACTTTATTGCTTCTCCTGCAACTGCAGCACTTCAATTTGTCCATGAAGGACTTCTTAGCACCTTCGACTTCTTCGGCGGAACTGATGATGATTTCCTCCACGTCGTGCAGTTTCTTCTTTTTGAGACATGCAAAACAACCTTGATTTTGTGGTTTATCTTGGGTTGGGTCCGCTTTGTCTGATTTTTTGCAACAAGCGCAGCACATTTTTTGTTTGAATTTGTGCATGAAACGACCGCACCTTGATGTTGGGACCTCTTCTGCTGGTGGCTCCTCTTCTCTGGGATGTGGCGGGGCCCTAAAAATTAAATTTATTGTACTAACAGTTAATGGCAACACTTTTAGCAACAATATTTTTAATTTTTAATTGAATAATGTTTAGTTTTTGGTACGTTACCCATTTTCAATCATGCGATTGTAATTTGGTGCCTCGTTGTCCTCCGACAAGGGCGTAACGTAAATAAAAGTCATTTTCTCGTTAACCGTCTTAATTTTCATTGGAGCTAGTGTTCTATTTGCTCCTCAACGATTGAAAACTATTTGTTTGGTTCACTGATTTGATTATAGTGCACTGAAGTTTACGCTTGTCGCAGCAATGGCGAGCGGCGACCACCTTAACGTCGCACTGTGTGAGCGTTCTTTATTTGACGATGGTGCCGCGCGTTGTAAGGTGTTCTTAGCATCGACTTTGTATGTTGCCACCTTCTTTGCCACACACTAATGTATGTATATGTGTAGAGGGAGCGTGGAGGGCTTTGCGTTCCATATACCCATGAAAGTTAATGAAAAAAGATTTATTCCAAAGTTACCATCAGTGTGGAGTGGCCAGAGGCGTAGCAACAAAATCGATATTAACCACGTATTTTAAGTTTGCGACTTGTGAAAATTAAATTTATTAAACTGATGACAAATGACGATTCAATGAGCAGGTGCACTTTGAACTTTGCTGCGGTGCAATTAATCTATCTCGGTGACAGTTTTCGCTGGTGAATCATGCAGAAATTCGCGAATATTGTTGATGACTCTGGTGGTCGGAAACGTGCGCCGCCACTGACTAATGACCGCACGCCATATTCCACTCGCTAGACCGGACCGTGCGGGCCGATGTGTGTTGACTGTGTGGCCCCCGCACGCGAGGAACCACCCCTGAAAGCCCCTACCTCTTGACCCCTCCACCGCCACCCTGAATACATTAGATTTTGCATTCCTGCAAACCTAGAGTCAACTCTTGGGTCATTCTTATACGCCAGTATAAGGGGGTTGCTCTACCGGCTTCGATTTGTTTTCCTTTACTTTTCCTTCTCCTTGCGGACGCTTGTTCCTTTTTGGCACCTTGCTAGACGCGTCTACCCCCACTTTTATCCGACGTTTGGTCAACATTTATTTCGTTTATGCTTGAAACACTTGGAATAGTTAAAGGCACGTAATGGGCCAGTTTTGTTGAGGCGGGTGCATGTGTGGCGGGTATCATGGTGCGCGATAGAAAGTTGGACTCGACCGATATTTTTTAAGTAATTGTGTCAGGGTTACAAAATGACCGTTTTGGCGCCGTTATTTTTACACTTTTTCTTTTTGGGTTAAACTTGATCTAGAAGTTGGCCAAATATTTTTATCTACAACTTTTATTTTCATATTAACACCTTGCAGGCATTCCGGAAATTTCATTTTCAACCCCCTATGCAATGCATAAATTTCGTATAATTTTCATAATTGCTGCACCCTAGCAAACTTTTCGGAAAAGTGAAGCAAAGCATTTTACGCATATTAGGTTTTCAAGGATGATACTATAATTATGGGGTTCCATTAAACTTTCGCTTCATTTTGAAAGCTTTCAATCCTGCTGAAAATGCTATTAACTATATTACTTCTGCAACGCTGATTAAAATTACAGTTCGCCCTGGTTATACGAGTATAATCCAACCGGAGCAACAAAAAACTAAGTTTTCCCTTTCATCATATTTCCAACAACACTTTTCGAACATTGTTAACGCGATCCATTCGAAATATCAGTTTAGCAAAGTTTAACTTTACATTAACTCATTTAACAGTTGATAACTGCAGCCGGGAATTGACTAATGAGGCTATAAATAAAACGCAGACTTGTTGTTGCTTTTAAATTTGTGCAAATTGCGAACAACTCACGAAGAGCAAATTTCCTCACTTCATTGATTTTCTATTTTGCTCTGTTTTTTTTTCTCTGCCATCATGAGCGTATAATTGTTTTCTGACGGTATCCACCGTCTATTTTTATGCTTTCATTACTGCATAGTTGAGGTTAGAAATACATGAGTTAATTATATTACAATTAAAACGCACTGTATGTATGTTTGACAACATCTGCACATGGAGTTCCGATCGATATATTTTTGCCCTTTTTTCTTACCACCTCTTGGCTCGTACTTTGGCATGTGCAAGCCGTGTACTTTGCATAAAACAATTACGACTTGTGTGCGTGCTTCGTATGTACGCAAAGAGAAGAACTTTGACTTGATGACTACGAAAACAAAATTGTTTGTTTTATGAAATATATATTTCATCAAAAAACGAAATAAAACAAAAACTGAGTGCTTTAAAATATGCATCTTTTCTTATCACTGATTGAAATCTCCAAATACAATCTGATTGAGTGATACATGAAATATTACTTCATTGTTTTGCAGTTTATTGTTGTTCAAAGTACAGTCCACCCAGCTCACCTACTTTCGATCACAACGTCGTAAAACCACCGGTAGCAATATCTAATTGTGTTTCACGTCACAGCGTGCGCCCGGTGGAAATGTAAAAATAAGCGCGCGATTCGAATTGCGGTCAAAATCGTGTTGGCCACACCACCCCCACACCCTCACACCCAGCAGCTCGGGTACAAGTCCGTGGTTGTACCCATATAGCAATAGCATTTTTAGCATTTCCACACCACTTGACCAATACAAATTTCATATCTTTGTCCCTCTTAACAGTCGGTCGATTAACCCAAATAATGCGTGCCTAAATATAACAACCCCTTAAGAAATTTTTGACTTAGCACTGGCGCAATATTTTGACTCATGTATAGGTGTATGTTTGTCGAGTGTTCCAGTTATAACCGCTTGACTAATTAAACACAGATTTAAGTGGGAAACGATTAATCCTTGAACTTTTCGCTGCGGGTTCATAAATTGGGCACACTAAATATATGTGATTATACGTTTGTAACTTACCCTGCACCTTGAGCTGTACCATTGGTGGCGTTTGGTGGAAACCGCACATTACCACTCTGCACCTCCATGTTCTGACCCTTCTCCTGCACCATGATTTTAATCGGCTGAACCTCTTGGTGCAATACAGTCCCACTGTTCTCATAGTGCACACGCGCGCCGAAACTATCATCCGGCGATATCAGTTTATTAATGTTATTCTTCGCCACGTGTGGCCCGCCCACGCCACCATTGCTATTGACAACTAACGTACTACTATTTACACTTTGGCCATTGTTTCCTATCGTCACGTGCGTGACGCCGCCCGCCGTCACCGCCGACGTGGTCGTGGTTGTGGTTGTCTCCACGCTCGGCAGCGTCCTCGTTTGGCTCTGCTGCGGCGGCGGTTCACTCGATAGCGATATAATCGCCGTGGCCGCCGGCGACAACTTCGACATATTATGATCCTTGAGCAGCGTCTCCGCATCTAGAACAGTATCGTTCATTCTTTCTATTGCGCTCGTGACGCTTTTAGCACTCAGCACCCTACCTTCGTCCATGTACATTGGCGTTTCTTTGATGGGCTTTGTCAGAATATTCGTCGCGGAAGCACTGGTTTTCAGGGGTGTATCGATTGTCGCCTCAATTTTCAACGGTTTCGTTACTGTGTCAGTTGTGGTGGACAACACTGTCGCCGGTGGGAGCATCTCTGTGATTTTTGGTAAAGGTTCAACCTTTTTAGTTGGTGATGAGGATGATCCATTGGTTGTACTGCTGGATGAATCACTATCTGTTGCTTTTTTAGTTAAACTGCGTGTGCTGGGTGTTTTCTTTAGAAACTTCTTCTCGGGGGACTTTGCTGCATCACCATTTGTATTATTATTATTACTATTGTTATTAGAGTTGGTTGTAGCACTAGTTTTATTACTATTTCCATTAACAGTGGAACTACTATTGTTATTATTATTGTTTTTATTTGTGTTATTATTGTTGGCGGATTTTTTTGCAAAACTTGATGATTTAGAAACACTAGTTATACTCTCAGTCCTGTTTAGTTTAGAATTGCTGCTTGATTTGCTGCGGTTTTTATCGGATGGTTTCAATCTATTGGTACTGTGATTATTGCTCGTTGATGAATGTGAACTAGCGTTAGTATTAGGCACTTTCGTTTTCGATTTGGCATTAAAACTGTTGACCTTCGCCTGAACGTTGCGATAGTTTTTCGTGGGGATCTTCGTTGGTGAAATTGGCGGTTTACCCGAAGGTGACGCCTCTCTGCTTTGATTTCTCGATGCATTTCTCGACGCATTCCTCGAAGTTGCTTGTGAACCTACACGGCTGCGACTTCGTGAGAGGCCCGCATTGCTTGCACTCAAATGTTTGTTGTTGAGGTTGGTAGCACTACCGTGATGTGATGACTTGTCGTTATCAGGCGAATGTTTGCGGCTCGAGGGTGAACTTCTAGACATGGGTATGCGTGAAGGGGAAGACTGACTCTTCGAATCTGTGCTGGGTTCCGGGGAACTGCCGATGATTGGTGAGAGACGTGAGAATGATGAGTTCCTCGAGTATATCCCACCAGGACGACGGTTTCCGGGTGCGGTTGGTGGTTTGTTAGAAACTCGCGGTCCAATGTTGTTCAAACTTCTACTCAACTGTGGTTTGAGCAGACTATTCCTTCGTTGGTGTTTTGGTGATGAATCACTACTTTCTTCAGTGCTGAGCATTGTAGAACTGTTGTGACGTTTCAGCTGCGGTATATTGGACCTTTTCCTACTGCTAGCATTGTTGTTGTTTTGCTGGTAAGATAATCGATTGTCTTCTGGAGGTGGAGGTGGTGATCCAGCTGGGGACGCATGCCGCGATCCGGTGGGATTGAATCCGCGACCACGGAATGGGCTGACGCGACCGGAAGTCGGCGATGGGCTTCGGGATGGTTCATAATTGGCGGGCTCCGCGATGATTGAAAATGATTGGTTTTTATTTCTTCTAACATTTGCATTTGGACTTAATCTGTTGAAACAAACAAAAGAAACGAAATATTTTTTAGAATCAATTTTACAAAATGCATTTATAAATACCTAAATTGTTGTGGTGCTGGTGGTGGATCCGGTGGTGATCCATTCTCCTCGGGGGATAGGACAGTAAATGCACCAGGTGACAGATATCGCAGATTGAGTTCATCTTCAAACGTCCTTCCTGGTCTATTATAACCACCGGGTCTACCGTCCGGCGCGCGCATATCGTACATTTGCACAAGCCTTATTTGAAATTTGCGAATTTATCACGACATTAGGTTTTTACGCGAGAAATAATATGACAAAAATTAATGTTTAAGTTCTTCGTGCAGTGGAGAAATAATCAAAACGTAAAAAAAATCAACGCAACTCAAAGCGCGCATTATTCAATACAATTCAGCGTCATTTTTGTTAAGGTACATGTGTTATATTTAGTACGAGGCGAGTGTTTGTTTTCTTGTCGGCGGTTTTCATTCCGATTGCAAAGAACGCTGCTGCACATCAAACCCTTTTGTTATGCAATCAGTTATTGACGACCTAAAAATAAATATTGTGGTGAGTAAAATTAAAGTAAAGGTTAGCGCACGGTGGTTTCATATTTTTATGTTTATGATAGCATATTTAGATATTACACTCCTTGGTACCCTTGAATGTTTTTATACGTTATCGACTTATTTTTAAAGGGGGCGTGGCTAGTCATATACATCTTAAATAAATTTTCCACTTTGTTCACTTTAAGCAGCTTAAATTACTTCAAAAAACTTCAACAACTTAAATATAGATTAATTAGTGTCGAAATTTGCATGATAATCATCTAAGCAAACTTAGTTAGTTTCTAAACGTTTGTAAAAATTGCCTAAAAAGCGTATTTCCTATATAAATGTGCAAAAACTGTATTTTCTGGTTAGTTTTGTCATTTTATTGTAATTTTAAGTCATTTCCGAAACATTTTACTTGCAAACAATGAGTTGCATCATCAGACGTTTCTTTACAACTACTATTATGTATAAGAACATTCATGAAGTAACAACAAACAAGGAAATACGTTTAAATTGTTTTACAAAGACAATAACAATTCATTGATGATGATAAAACATCCGATTTTATCTCTTTGTTAAGTCGAAATCTTGAAACAAAAAAAATGAGTCATACATGTATATGCTTATGCCTTTTTTCTTATCTTTCCTAATTTATTTCTTTGTGTGGTAATTTAGCAACTTACGACAAGTAAAATTTGCCCAAACGTTTCGCATATTTTTCCCGGCCATGAACCTATGAAAGACCCTCAGGTTGACCAGTGCGGCCACAACCCTCAACTCGTCCTTGGAATGGCAAAACGGAGCGTTTTATTGGTGTGTCTGGCCCGGGTCGCAATTCGGTCTTGAATTAATTAGAACGCTTAGATTGCGTTCATTATGTCGTCCACTCACGGAGCGTTTAAACAATTTCGTTTCGTTTCTTTTCTTCGTGGTCACCAAAACGTGAACGGACACGCCGGCACAATGATACGCAGACATAATATCAAATCAAAAACAACGAAATTGTAATCAAAGTGAAATTCGCAATTAGCAAAGCAACTCAACGTCGTGTCGAGTGCTTGTACGCTTGTACACTTCGTGATTGAGTTGAATCTAATTTTATTCATAATCACTTTTACAGCGCTCCTCTCTTCATAATGAGCGAGCACGACGGTTTCCACTTTCTGGATATGAATTCAATGTCGATTAAATAGAGTATGAGTTATGTACTTTCAATTACAATTTCTCATTACAAAAAAAAATTCTGAATTTTTGTTTGTTTCAAGTAGGTTGGTCGCACCTCGTTATTGAATGATTTATCTTGTCTTGTCTTTTCGCATCGAGTATGCTAATCAGTGCAACATGTTGATGGCACTAAACTGAATATGTCGTGCGTGTCTATAAATGATTTTCCGCTAGCACGATGTGCATTGTACCTACATTGAAGCTTATTTAGTGTTACAATTACAATCTAAGGCCGAGATGATTTATTTCTTTTGCTTTGCCTGCCCGCTTTTTAGTTGCTTATCTACCGTTCGCATTTTCTCCGGCGCGAAATGTGCCAACTTTGGTCTTTCATGTCTTTGTGCGTCTTGGAGCGGCATTCGTAACGGTTCGAAATTATGACTTTCTTTGCAATTATAAATGGCACATCCCGCTGCATATTGACCGTGCCAGTTCTTACATTAATTAACTTAATATGTTCAAAATAAGAAAAGAACAAAACGGCTTGAAAGTAAAGCAAATTAAAACGAAATGATACACAAACTGGAATAACAGAAGATAATAACCCAAAAAGAAAGACTTCTAGTAGTAAAAGAGAGTATAATAAAGTGTACGAGTATGTTTAGAACGATTAATAATTGCAATAGTTATGAGTTATTGCGAAGTACTCTCGGAAAATGCAGCTGAGCATAGAGAAAAACCGCAACGACCACGAGGTATACTTAAAGATAACGAGTAGTTGGTTGTTAGTTACCGAATCGTAAATACATTGTTACAAATGCAGCAGGTATTGTTTAGATTGTAAATCAGAACCGTATCTATTCAAAAAAGATAACGTTTACAATTAATCTTCTTTAAACAATATAGTTTTTAGTTCAGCTACATTTTAAGTAAAAGTAATTTCTTTTGAGCAGTTATTAATGATTTACTGTGTAATGCACCAGTTCTGTAAAACATATTTTGTTTAAAATTTCTCATTCATATAAATCAAGATAATATTGATTAAAAAATGTATTATCATTAATCAAGTTAAGAAAATATGCAAATATTAAATTGATTATAGGCTATAGATACGTGTTTATTAATTGCATAGCGTCCATTACACGATTATATTGATTAAAATAGGTAATAGTATGTATATTTAATCAATAAGCATGAAAAATGTTAAATAGATTTCAAATATTTATGAAATATTAGTTTTTGAAGAGAAAATCATGATGTTTCTTTGAATTAACAAACTTTTATTGCATTATATCAAAAATATGTTATTTAATTTGTTGTTTTGGTTAGTTTAATATCACCAGTAAGCTTAACTAGAGATAAAACTTGATAAATGTCGTAAGTAGTAACCTTAAAAGCACTTATTGGCTTTTAAATTCCAAAATTTAATTTTTATTCGCTATCCTACAAATGGCAATAGATAAATTAACCAAAATGAAAATTATGATTGCCATGTTAACCTATTCTCTAGCACATGTCGCTACTACAAAATATTAGGTTAAGTATGATTTTTAAGTCCAATACTGAATAACCAATGCGTAAATCTTGACATGCTCCATATACGCGGCGTTTGCGTTTACGATACGCACATACTGCGTAAAGAAATATGATCATAACGCAGTAATGTGGATTGTGGCTACGTTTCGATGATTCCAAAAAGCCTACGCTGTGCATTATCTTGAGCTCATTAGCGTAACAGTCCGTCAGTTGACTAGCACACGTTTAATTTCGCATGTAGCGCGCGTTTTACGCCGCCATTATGCTCGCAATTAGTCTGCGTTCATCAGGCGCAGTTTTCTTTTCTTTCTCTTTAATTTATTTATTGTTGATATCAACGCGAGCGCATCCCAGCTAATTGCCGGCGAGTTTCTCAGTTTCTCTGCGCGGTTAAACGGTGAATCAAATTTGTGCGGCATAATCGTCGCATTAATAATGCAGATTTCATGCTGGTTTATAATTTTATTTAATGCACTTAACTGTTAATTTCATTCTTCAATTATCCCAGCAGTTAAATCAGTTGCATCTGTTGTTAGTGAGTACTTATTGACTTTAATAATACTTTTTGTGAAATTATATTTTACTTTAAGCTATTGTTGAAATTTCATGGAATAATATGATTTAGTTTGCTGGGAAGAAAGTAAAGTGCTGTGCTGTGACCATTGGGCAACGGTTGGGTTGCTCATTCAATAAAACGAGCGCGCAAACGAAGCACGTTGCATAAATTAGGCAAAAAATCGATGCGCGATGTGTTCAAAACTATTTCCACCAACGTCTTCTCAGTTATTTTTGAAATTGAGGCATTGAGCGATGAGGTAGATACCTACTTACCTACAAACTTTCCGTAACTTGTTTTCATAACAATTAAAATTAAATTTTAATTTTTTTAACTTTAAATTTATAGCGTGTTTATAGAAATTAATAGCAATTAGGTAATAATATTCCTGCTACAACATTTTTAACAATCTAAAATATTTATTAACGTAGTAAAAATATATAAAGTCTGGAACAAAAATAAAATTTGTACCTACAAACAAAATTCTCTATAAAATTATTGCGAATTGTGTGCTGCACAACAGGAATCCATTTTTGAAACTGATTTCCAGATTGTTTTTTATCGTCTCGTAAATTAATCGCGATTATACTCGCATTCAAATATGAAATATAAAATAAACCCGCTTGCGTTTTCAGTTTTCATGCGTTACGGTTTTCTTTCGTTTGCAACGTTTCTTTTTCCTACAAAGCGTTAACGAAAGTTAACATATTCTATAATATCAAATATAATAAAAGATATTTTAACATCAAGCAGAAACAAATCGAGCAAACGCTTTATTCTGTTAATTTTCATACTTATAAAGTGAAATCTGATAATCCAGGTATTGAATATATTGCTTTGCGTATACTTTTACGGACAAACGCAATTAGAAAAATCGAAACGCATCATAAACCACCACTTAAGCAATTTAAGTGCGGTTAGATGGTGGATTGATGGAATCAATGTGCGGCCAACAGTGAACAAGCAGCAACCACGAACTGAAACATTTCACGTTCATTTGTTTATTCAACTCTTACTTAAACATTTCATCAACACATCGATGTTATAACTAGAATATTGAAATGTTTCTATTAGTAGTTAAGATTGCAAATGAAATTAATTAAATTGATTACCATTTACTCGGTGTTGTAAACGTATAAAAAGTAGTGTAGTAGTAATATATGAATAAGAATACATTTAAAAACAAACACAATAATTTCGTTTGGGGTTATATAAATAACTAGGTGAAATTAGCGGGGAATTGATGTAAATAGAATAAAATAGAAATATTTTGTTGAATAATAAATTATATTAATTATTATTATTTGTAATTTTGTGGTAAAATAAAAGAAATTAGTGTTGCGTACAATTATATTGCATATTATATTTTCTAATGTTTCAAAATTTGCAGGAATTTGCATAAATTCTGGGTTCAGTCAACTTTTCAATATACAAATTTTAGATTTTTGCAATTTACACTTTTAATGTGTTTTTTCAGTGTATAAAATTACATTTCTATGTATTAAAGGACATCAATCTTTATTTTAAGTTAAGAGATAACAAATATCTTGTTTTTGATTTTTCTTTGTAGTTTACATTTCGTAAACAAAGCCTAATTGTTATATTAAAGAACATTTGTACGATTATTTTGCGTAAATATTGCAATATTGCAATTTTTGGTTGTTTTCGTTATTCATTCAGACCTTAACAATATGCAGTACTTTTAATGAACCAAAACAAGTCGATATTTTTGTTTTTGGTGAATATTTGCTCGACAATAATGAAGAAACTTCAAAATTATCAAAAAATGCGCTTTATATTTTAGTTACACTTTTTATCTTTAGCCTAAAGCCCAATCTCCTAACATAAAAGTATTTCTCCAGTTTCCGTTTTATTTCCCACCTTCCAAAATTAGATAAACGCATTTATACATAATTTCCTCTGAGAAAACCCAGTAACACTCTGCACACATAATTTCCAACAAATAAATCAACTAAAACCAAAGATTACGTCTAGTAATCTCTATAAAAGCTTTGAAAAGGCTCCGCGTAGTTCCAACGTTTCAAAATTCACGTACCGTGGTGCTTTAATTTAGGAACGCATCTTATTTTAGTCTTAACCGTCTGTTGATTTTACTCTATTTGCCTCCACTTTACAGTCTTTACGCGCTTTACAGTTCAAGTACCTGCATATATGAAGTAACACAAAGTAGCTCTTTTCAAGCGCGCGTCGTTCAACTGGTAAATATTTGAAAACTGAATTTTATTAACCTAATAAATGCAGTTTACCCAGTTGGAAGATGTTTGTATTATTACGTTTGAGTGGGTTTTATGTTTATAACTACTTTATTTATCAGTTTAATTGGATGATTTAAAATCATTAAACACTTTCAAAATAAATTTGATCTATTTCTGCGCCGTTTATTACGCTTCTTACACATAAATCGCTCCAAATAAATATTATACTTACACAGATTAAAAAGAAAGCATGTTTCCATTGTTGCACAAAAAAATGTAAGCACTTATTGTTATCGACGAAATCTATGACTCGTTTGTGGATCTTTGAATCAACGATGAATCACTTCTTAACCTTTTGATATTTGATGCTTATGCTTGATTCTTATCGAGTAATAGATATAACTCGTGCGCGAAACTTCCACAAAGAATTAAACATTCCACCAGTAAACGTAACTAAACCAAATATGATTGCACTAGATGATTAATTCTTTTTATAACTTTGTTTAATTTGTTTTTAATGTCGGTTTTTAATAATATAAGATAATGTCAGTTCGGGATTGAATGAAATCTTGTCTTGTCAGTTTCATTCATGAATGCAACTCGCGATCAACAGAGCATCCTCGTCGTCGGTGCGATGCATTTATATTTTCGGACGCGTCCCTTTTTTTTTACTCTCTACTCTTCGTCGTTACAAAAAAAGCGCCGCACGACTACGGTGACTGGTGACTTCTTGGCGGCCGGCGAAGAAAGCGCGGCCGCGAGTACGAACGACGCCGGTGGTGGGCAACGTGGTGTGGCGTGTGGTAAGGGGGCGACTGGCGGCGATCTTAGAAGGAAAATCGCCGCGTCCTACTTATGCCACCCCCTCTAGCGTGTTTTCGCGAGCGCGGAGGTGTTTGCCGCCGAGTATATTGCATCGAGAAGGTGCTGCGCGGGTATGGTATACGCGGCTTACCTAACGCTGGTGGTGGCGGTGCTGGTTCTAGCGCTGGTTACCGCCACCACCGTCGCAATATCACATAACGCACTGTATACCAACACCACTTATCAACGGGCAACAATTTTACCAAGCAATCATCATATATCACAAAATTTCGTGAATTTTAATTGGAATATAGAAATTTTTATAGAAAAAAAAAACTTTTGAATAGGATTTTACTGCCTAGGCAGTGAAATGTAGATCATGGGTGCATAGTAGATAATACTTTTACGTTATTTTATTAAAAAATAAAAAGAAAATTTTCATTTCTTTTTTGAATTTTTAAGAATCTTTAGTCCTTAAAACGTTATCCTAAATGTTTTTCTTCATAGTTTTGTCAGCCATTTTGTAACAATAGGTATACCTAAGCCTTTTTTTCAAAAAAAATGTTTATATACTCGTATGTATTGGTTATAAGATATATTTCGGCTTTAGCCTTGGCTCTGATTCTCCGCTCCATTCATTTTCCGTTGGCGTTGGAATGGTTGGAATGGTCGAAAAGCCCATGACGGCCATGGCTGTTCCTGACGCAAGTCAACAAGAGGGCCAAACTAAAAAATAAATTATCCTAACCGGCCGCACTCGTGCCGTCGCCCGCCGACTTAGATTGGTTTTCGGCGTATAATAATACGGCGTCGTTTAAGCTCGTAAATCACCGCGAAAAGCTCTGCCTTGCACACCTTGCTTTATTGTTGTCCTTAATTGCGCCAATAATACTGATCATTATGTGTACACAATAGGCTCAGCACAAAAAAGATTCAATTAACAATTTTTAGGTGTTAACCGCAACTTATTAAACATTGTTAATTTTAAAAGTGGAACACAACTTGCTTCTGAAAATTGGTTTGTAAATTGGTTCCATTCTAATGATTAATTATTAAGTTGATGAGCAAAACATAATTACAAATGAACCTCCGCATTGATATTTTGTAAATAGACTGGCGTCTTCCGCATGAATTGCATTCTGATTGAGTTGAATTAGAATGCGAGAGTAGCACGCAGAAATAAACGAATTAATTCCTTTGTAAATGTTAGTCAGACAATATTCTGGCACGAGTGCAAAACTGTTTTGCTGCGCAACAAATTCGCAGGAAATTATTATCATCAAATGCCCTTTTCAATATTCTTTCTTTAGAATACGTGTCAAATGTGAAATACAGGAAATGTTTGCTAATACTTTTTTGCGAAATGTTGCTTTAGCTACTTGCGATGAAAATTTAATTAATATGTAACGTGTCGCATCTCGCAACTGCTCATTTTATTGACCAACGCCCCTAATTCGCGTGCGCATATTTCCAACTTCTAATCAAATTCGTATTAACACGGCGATTAAAATTTTTGCATCGTCGGTAACAAGTGTTACGACCGCACGAGGCGTAATATTATTAACGCCGCATTCGTATTTAGCAATGTTTTAGTTTACTTCAACTTTCCACCGCATAACGGAGTAAATACATGCTTTGTATACCTTCGGTATGCATTAAACGAAAAGCAATGAGGAATGGCATGGATTTTCGCTCGGCGCTTTTTGCATTTAATTAGAAGATCGTTAAATGAATATTTATGGTGTTGTTGGTAGTCACATTTTGCTCTTGTTGCTTCCAGTTCTTTAGTGGAACAAAGCAGCAATATAAATAGATGTTGCACTCATTTAAATATTAAGGTATTATACTCGTTTCGATGAATTCAAGTAGCAAATACTTTGATATAATTAAAATTCTGCAAATAGTACTTTTTATATTATTAAGTATTTCTTCACGAGTTATGCGCAATTTCAATAGTCAATTTTTAAATAAGGATTAAGTATAGGAATTAAAAAGTGATTTTCCTTTCTGAATCGGTAAGTTTTCATCTGTTTCCGCTAAGAACCGATCACCTTGACTCGTTATCCGACGCGTACCGCATAAACGATGGTTTGCATTAATCTTTATAATGCGTTATTGGCACTATAATCCCCATATTGATAAATGGTTCACTGACATGCCATGCACGCCGATCCAGTTCAGCTTTTTAATCAGGAACAAGTAATAACGCAAACGCATTCATTGACCATCGTCGCTCTTTCATTCTGGTTAATAACGCGAACGCAAAGTCGCAGATAACTATTGTGTCGTACTTAAACATGGTGCGATGGCACGGTTCGCCTACCATACCAACAACCCCATTATTCTCTTCTGGTAAAAAGTAACTATGTATCAATCAATTTTTGCAAACAATGACGTCGAGCGGTATGATGTGCGACGGCAAATTCGCAACTCGAACAAAGCGATTTATTCGGATATTGATGATGGGTAGAAATTGGTTGTTTATTGTTAGAGCAATGAGGTGCTTTCCGGTTCCCATCACGTATTCATAAACTTAAACAAACAGCTTTCGTCGAAGTTTAGGTTCAGGCTCTGGTACAATAGGGTAGAAATGCTAATCAGGTAGTTCTTTTATTACTTGACGTAGAAATAATGTTCAATACCGAGAAAAAAGAAGTGTAAAACAAAATGGCCGCTATTACATGCATTTCTTGCCTTCTATTGTTGTTTTTTAATATAGTGACCTGATTTAGAACAAGTTAAAAACTGAGTTCAGTACTCCAGTTCATACTTGTGGGTTTAACCGGTCGAACGCACCTTGTACCTGACTCTGGAGTACTTGACTTGACTTGACCAATACCGGAAATAAAGGTCGAAGCCCTCCGAAGCGATCCTTGCAAACCGCGTCGAGACCGCAAAAATAAGGAATAAACGCCGGCGCCAGCAAGGAATGCAAAGATATGCAAATTGTTCTGCATTCGCTTAAAACAACACACACACAAACTGCTTAAATATCCAAATTACCTATCTACATACTAACATTGTAGATAAATTAAACGGTTTATTGAAACTCATAAACAAAGTAAGACGTAAAAATAATAAAATTGTTTAAAAGAAACTAAAAATGCGCCGTCAACTTTTGAATATCATTCAGATCTTCAACCAATTCATCAATTTTCGATCCAATTTTTTTCGCCACTTCAAGTTTCTCATTTAGAGGTAACTGCGTAAAATTCCAAACCAAGTCACCGTCGATAATACTCCGCGATGGATTCGCTTGTAACTTCCGCCAACTGCGATAAGTCCTGTAAGATTTTGGATTCAATCCAGCTGTATGTGATCCGTGCGTAACCAACACATTTTGCAACATGAGCAATCTCCTATAGGTTTTTTCTGGAACAGCCATGATATATCCTAACCCTCCATCAAGTGTAGCTGTTAAACAAATTAAAAATCAATTAAATTTATAATATTAATTAATGCGGTAAACAATGAAATTACCAAACATAGTTATGTGTTTTCTATCAGCTCCAGATTGATACTTTTTGTCTTCACTAAACAAACTCAGTTTGCATTTGATCCTAAAGAATGAGTTAATATTCTGCCCGAAATGAAAATCAGCCTTTCTTAGCAATCTCTGGCCACCAAAAGATTCTCTTGCTTCTGGTTGATACAAATACAAAATTATATTCTTTTCAGCGTCAGATACCAAAAATCCCAATGTTGAATTATCTATCAGATACTCAATGGTGTACACTTCGCAGGGACGAAAATCTCTGGAGACTAATGACAATGTACGGTATTCTTCTTGGAAGCGTAGTAAAGCAACCGATTTATAAACATCCGCGACAAGGATTAGACTCTTGATTGCTAATATCTGATGTGTGTAGATTTGTGTGTCGATGAAAGCAACTCCGACAAGGTCGTTATCCTTCAGTTGCCAGATGTAAATCTTTTGTCCAACAGCCGACACTAAAAAGCCTTTAACTTGAGATATGGCTGTAACTGGACCTTTCTGTTCTTTAGCGTAGATTTCTTTAAATCTGTTTTTAGTTAAAGGTTGTCCAGGTTCAGGTACAACTTCAATGATGTCATAAATTAAAATCTGTAAAAATGAATAGTTTATTAACACACAAACAAAGTAAGCAAAATTAATATTACCCTTCCTCGGGATGTGATATCTTCACCATAATTATAATTAGTCCCCATGGCGATGTATCCCTTCAAACCGGAAATAGTACCTTCATAAGCAAGCGACACATTTTTTAAACAAGTCACATGCTCCCATTCCTCTAAATCAATTTGTGTGTTTGGAATAACTTCCCATGAAACTGGCGAAAATAACATCACACTAAACTTTTCCTGCATGGGATATGGAAACCGGTCTCCCTTATCCTCAACCGATAGCTCTTTATCTTCTCCATTGAATTTGTAGTAAGATTTTGATGCTTCCGATGTAGACGTAACAAGGCAATATGTTTTCGATTCGAGATGATAAGTAACAAATACTGGTGTATATCTTAGTGGTACTTTTCTGACAGGCCAAGGTGCATCATAACTCAAATGAGTTGGTAGAACGCCAATTCGCATTTCAGACTAGAATCAAATAATTAACAAAATTAATAACATTATTTTTATGATCTTGTAATACAATTACCTTCTTGTTAAAATACAAAAATCCAAGTGGGCAATTAATGTTATTGAACGCAGCGAACGTTAAAACTTCTCCGTCTATCAACATATTATGCGCTCTCAATTCACCTCTGGACGTCAAGAATATCCAATATGGATTTGCGCCGCAGATAAACAATCCACTATAGCCAGCAATATTTGTAAAATATCGAATTTTTGAAATCTTTTCTTGAATTCCAATGAAATCCGCATTGCCACTCTCATACTTCGGTGTTTCATTTGACGAATACATAATATTATGTTGCATTTTCTTAAAGCGCATCTTTAAGTTTCCGCGATGAAAGCGGAACACTTCATAAATGTACAAATCGTTCTCTAGTCGTACAAATAGTAATGGTTTACTGTTCTTATTTCCTAATGCAACCACGCAGATCTCTTTAACGACATGCTCATCAAACTCATGTTTATCATCGTGAATCGTATTCACCGATTCTAAGCTATCAACGAGTACTTTATACCCGTAGTTGAGATTGCGCGCAATGAAGCACAGTTTAAATTCAGGAACTGAATAGATTTCCAAGTTCGAATTTTCACGTACGACAAACAACCAAAACGTGGGTTTATTGTCTTTCATGTATTTCTTCCACCAATTGTAGTAGACTTTTGGTTTGGATGTTGAAATCGCGGGCATTTTAAAGTCACTATCGTCGCCGTAAAGGAGATCATCTTCATTTTCGTTATCTTGCCTCGGTTCTGTGTCGCTGATGATGTGTTGTGGAATGCTGGTGAATTCATCAGGGATTTTATTTGTGAAAAGACCCGAAACGTCTCTATACATGCAAATTGTTGTTACTGCTGGTGTCTAATATTGAAAAACAAACGTTATAACTTAGTTAACAAACCTCATAGATATTACAATGATGTTAAAAAAAGTTAAATGTAAAACTTTTTTACTTACATTAGCAAGAGTAGATTTACTGACCACCAACTTGGCTGATGTGCGTGTTTCGCGCAACATCAACGTAATTACCTGCCCATCAGCAGTCAAAATTGCAATATAAGGATCAGCACTAGTTGCATATACAATCGGTGAACCCAAATCAAGCGGAATATACTGCAATTTAGTCGTCCCAATCAATAATTTAATCGAATTGATATTAACTTGCACAATATATTTATTATTGCCTAAATTTCCAGCGTAAACAGTTGGGCCGTCAGTAGAAAAGCCCGTATTGTCAATTTCATTTATTTCTTGGCCAGTTTGTAAAATCTATAATAGAAAATAGCTATTAATTGTTGTAAATATTACATATGCGTAATAGTTTATACCATAGAACTGCTTTCCTGGCTCAAAATCAAAAACGCATGATGATCATGCGGCCCGTACACGGTAAACGTGTTAAAACATCCTGGAAGTGTGAAAGTAGTGACAATCTGTGGTCGAATTGATCTCTGTAACACAACCAACGCTCCATTTTTACCATATCCTGCAGTTGTGACCAATTCCAAGTCTAAATCCATATTCTTAGTGAATTCTTCACTTATAAACGCTGGTTCTCCAATGGAGATATTCCCGCATGGTCCGACATTCAATAAAGTATCGCATACTTCAAAGACGTAGCTAGTGATTTGCAAACTGGCTTGTTTTTGATTACCGTATACTTCTAACTCTTCCGGATCGCGGATGTCCAACACATCGCTTGCCATGCAATCATTGAGACTGTCAAGAACTTTTTCACTTTCATCTTCTTTTAATTTCTTTGCATCCGGCTCGGCACAATCTTCGTCTAGGTTTATCACTTGGCAATTATCTTGCTCAGTGAAGCGCAATAGTAACGAATTGCCGAGACGAGATCCAAGAAAGAGGAAGTTATTTTCACAAACACAAATCTAAATATAAAAATTTAACAAAATCATGATGAATGTTTAATTAATGGAGATTAAATACTTACACATGTTGTTAAAACACTTGATGCAGCCTTCTCAAAGTGAAAACTTCTCACGTATCGCATACTGTCGACTAATAAAGTTAAAACGTACAATTCACCACCTTTTAGAGATAAAACCAAAGTATCCTCTTCCAAAAATCCAACATGGGCACAATCTAAACTTATTTTTATGTCTGGTTGAGGTTCTATAACAATAATTAATACTCTCAAACTTGTATCACTAAAATTTTAAATTTTATTTTCGTAAACTTACTCAATGGAAAGTTTGTGCATGTATCAGCAATACTATTCAAAGTAACGCCATAAGGTGGAATACTCTGATTTAAATATATTAACGAGTTTACGGCAAAAATAATTGTTCCTCCTAAAGGTTTCTTGATTGGCACTGCTCGTATTGAATCAAATGGTAGATTTGCGACACTCCAGATAACAGGGTGGACCTTTTCTTGGAGATTTAAGGAAATTGCAGCCATTGCGCATGTGTCAGTTCGTACAGCAACACGTCTATTAAAAAATGCATAATTTTATTAAATTACACAAACTACCGGGATATTTATTAAAAGTTAATAGATTTTATAATGAACAAACTTACCCTGCAAATGTTTTTAAAGGTTCATAGAGTATAAGTAGCGTAGGCTCATAATAGCCATGTAAAAATTGAATATCAATTATATTATCAATTTTATCCATAAAATCTTTCAAATAAATCATGTACGACGCCATGATTAAACTTTTCGACGTTGAATTATTACTAAGCATGGGTTTAATATCATTGGTGTCACCGTCATCCAACGAATTTTCCCTTCTAAAAGGCAAAACGACTAATTTTCGGCCGAAAATCGTCATGACTGCACAGCGATTTTCTGGATCTGCGCGAACAAGTGGTACATGATAATGATGTGTCCATCCATCCTAAAATAGCGTAATGTTATAACATTTCTAAATAAAAGGGATGATGGTAATAAAGTATTTGCATACTTTCATATCTTCTTCTTCAAAGTAATGCAAACTCAACGTTTTTAAATCGTGAGTTTCGGGATCATACTCAACAACAGAAAGTTTGGCATCTTGAAATCCTAAGAGTAAAGCATCCCGTGGTGAGTTTGCTAGGTTTACACTCTGAATAGACATCACATTGCCGAATAATGTGAAGGATGCGGCGCATTCTAGTTTGCATTTTGGTGGTTTCAAGCCAGATGCTAAAATTTTAAATTAGCAATTTAGTAAACAACAGCTTCCTTTGAAACTTTTATTTTTGTTAACAATGTAATATAAATAGATTAAGACTTACATTTTTTCTGTTTTTCCAATTTTACATTAACTTCTGAATCAGGAATTAATCTGTATACTTTGATAATATTTGCCCCAGCAGTGATAAGACACCTGTCTGACCTATCAAAGAAATAGCAACGAATTGCATGTTCCACAGCAGTTGCGGGGTGGGTTTGCTTGCAAATCGAGAACATCTTGCCGTTGTCCCTTAATTGGGACACGAACGTTAAAATAAAACTATTATAACTGGAAAAATAAGTGCAATTGCCACTATTAATATAATTAGAAGGTATGCCATCATTTTTCCGCGTTTTTTTTTATAACGCTAGAATGATTTTGACAGTAAATAATTTAACTTACTTGATTATTTAATTCTTAAATAGCAACAATCATTAATAAAACTGTTTCCACGATTTATTTATGTTGATATACTCGGAAAAACCAAACACAAACAATATTTGAGGTTAGAGTTTAATCACGTAAAATGCGCCACCTGCGACCACGCTTAATGACTGTATGCAACTGAATATACATATTCTGTACTGTTACTGAGAAGCAATGTTTTATTCAAGCATCTTATAAAATTAGAGAGTTGAAGCAAAAAGTAAGTGAATACATTCATTTAGATAAGTAGGTAGGTCATTATATTTTTAAATTAAAATTAAATCTATAAGTTTATTCCACAATCATATCCACACTAAGTTCTTCACCAATATTACTGGGAGAGGTCTCCAATTCTCCAATATCATTAGATTCACTGTAATACAAAAATGGCAATTACCTTTAAAATATTAAAATAATTTAGATTAATATACCTGTCTAGAGATGGTTCATTACTAAACATTTCAGTGGGCACTGTTAAAGGTGCTCTTTCCAACTCCAAGAATGATTGTCTTGATTGCAAGTGCCTCTCTACTTCTTCAGGTGTCATGTGTCCATCAGACATAGACACATTATTCATGTGCACAGCAGTGCTGATATTATTCACCTGGGTATTGTGATTTGAGGGTTGTTTGGGTGGTCTTTGAGCTGGTGATCTTTTCTTTTTTGCTGCTGGGATGGTCTTCCCACTTGATGGAGGTAGATGATTATTATGTGAGCTTGGATCTATTTTTCTTCTATAAAACATTGAAAATATTAAGTTGTCCAAGGTTGTGTCTAACACAAAAATACTTACTTTTTATTGGGCTCTGGCTTTGGTGTTTCATCTTCAGATGAATCAGTATCATCAGAGTCTGTTGATGAGTTTTCAGGTTTCTCAAAGAGTACTAATCGATCCAAAAGAAAACTTCTGTCTTTAGTGACCATTAGTAATCTCTTCTGTGATGACCTTAATGCAGTTTGAAAGCACTCATTTTCCTATAAAGCATTTATTATTGTTGAGATGTGTACATTTGAGAAAGTATAACTAGAAACTTACATATAGTAAATGTTTTAATTTGGTTTTAAGGAATTTGTATTGCTTTTTCAGCTTGTTTTCTTCTAAAATTCGTTCTTGTTCTTCCGCAGCCGCCTGTTCATTGGCAATAGATCGGCAGTACCATCCATCCAACATTTTAAACTAAGTAAAACTGTATTGTTTCTTATGAAAACAAATGATTCGCTTTTATTTATGTGCTGAATATGTCTAAAAATATCGCATCAGTGTGTTTAGGTTATGCTCAAATCATAAGCACAAACTCAAACTCAAAGAAAATGGCGGTGTACAGGGTGATACAAACTGTTTGCTCAAAAACGAACAAATATGTGCATAGATGAAATAACAGGCGTATTTAAATATTAAACCAGTGGGTATTTGCATATGTTATGCACATAAATATATAACACTTGTTTAAAAATTCATTATTTTATTTGCTTTGCTTATCATCAACACAAATTTCATTATAAAAAACATAAAAATTAATCAACAACAATTAGTTAGTCTTTTTATTCTGAAGAGCTAAAGTCTTGTCAACGAACGACCAGACATCATCGCCCAACACTTTCGGCGCTTCGAATGCGATAAAATGGCCGCCATCTTCGAAATGATTGTTCTGCACTAATTGCGTGTATCTCTCCTTGAGCAAGCACTCGGGACTGTAAGCGAGCTCATTCTTGAAGTTAGAGCACGCTGACGGCACCTTAATTGGTACCCTGCAACAACAAGATCAAGGTTAATAAAGGTCAAGGTCACTTTTTATGAACTCTAAACTCACCAATCGTAATGTTTAGCTTGATAATCCGAATTGAACGACTCTGAATACAATCTCATCGAAGTGGTGATTGAACCTGTCACCCAATAGATCATCACGTTATCCAAAATTTTATCGTATGTAAACTTCTCCTTGAGACCACCATCAGCTCTGCTCTGCCAGTTCTTATTCGTCCATGACGTGAATTTTTCAATGATGTACGCGGCGAGTCCTACAGGCGAGTCATTCAAGCCCACACCGACTGTATCCGGTTTAGTTGCTTGAATATGCATGTAACCCATTTCCAACATCATAGTCTTGAAGAATGTGGAATATGGGTACATCCAACTTTCGTATTTTTCATCAACGACCATCGAAGGCCAGAATGCGCCAAGCATGCGTTTGATGTTAGATAATGGAGTGTTTACGAAACACATATTATTATGTAAACCTAAGATACGATCACCAAAAACAGCAGCCAAGTCAGCTGTGATCAAACTACCCCAATCTCCACCCTGGAGGTAATACTTTTTGTGACCAAGACGCTCCATCAGATTTTTGAAAATAATTGAGATCTGAATCGGGCTCATTCCCGGTTTGGGTGCGGCTTGAGAGAAACCATATCCAGGCAGGGACGGGATGATCAGTTCAAAAGCATAGTCGCGGCCATTTGTGGGTTTGGTAAGATAGGGAATAAGTTCGTAGAATTCCCGAACAGATCCCGGCCATCCATGTACCATCAACATGGGGTACACTTTGATACCCTTAGCCACTTGCGGTTTGACATGAATAAAATGAATATCCAAACCTTGGATCTTGGTCTTAAATTGTGGATATTGATTAAGGTATTTTTCACGCGCACGCCAATCGTATTTGTTTTTCCAATGATCAACGATGTCCTTGAGGAGATTTGTGTTCATGCCGTATTGCTGCTGGACGCCTTCGAGCGGTGGTGTGAAATCACGGTGCTTAGCGAGACGATCTTTCAAGTCAAGCAAGACCTGCTCATCAACAAACAAAAAATAAACGAGTTCTAGTATGCATGACCTTGATTATAATACACTATTAAAAATTTATATAAGAATATATCTCAATAACCTTGTCGGGGATATCGATCTTGAAGGGTTTGATTGAGGTATCATCGGAGGCGGCTTTTCCGGTCCCCCAGTAGATTTCCTCAATAACGGGCACCTCCATTTCCTTGAAGCAGCATTTTAGGCACAGGCCACCGAGCACAGCGGCACCGGTGACGACAAGGAGAGTGAGTTTGAAGCACAGACCCATGATTATGAAGAGCGTTAGAGCGATGCGCGCGGATCACAGCAGACTGAACAACTGAAGCCGCGGCGCTCACCGGGCAACCGTTTTAAACTTCGTCTCTCTTGATAACGGCGTATTACAAACATTGCGCTCATGTAACATGGAGGAGTAGGGTTGCATGATTGGAATACACACATTTCACATGTGTTCAAATACCCACGACGCCAGAGAAGCATCAATATGTAATTTATACTCCTGCATAGAAACATTGCAGAGTGGGAGCAATGCGTAGTGTTGATGGTGGACAGAGTCAACATGGCCAACATCACCAATACCGTGAAATATTTCGTGTTTTGAACGGAGGACGGCTAATGACTTGATTGCTGTTATTATGTAGTACGTTTGTACTTACTTACACAACTGTGGACGGTCATGGTTCAAGTTACTTTGTATCTAAGCACCTCTATAGCAAGTCATCATCAATCAACAAGTCAAAATTTGTTTTAAAATCAAAATAAATAGATTTTCTGTTAAATCATTGCACATTCTAAGGAAATTAAAGTGTGATATTAATATTTACTAAGTAATTCGCGCTTTAAAAATATTTTTGTCGTTTTTGTGACTTTATTCTTATTTTTTGGGAAAAAAATTGATTCCACACGTTTGATATCTTAGAGTATCAAATAAAAGATGTAAATAATACTATCGCGTTTATTTTATGATAATATACTCAAATATTTAAACAACCCAGTTGTAATCAATAAAACCATTTTAATAATTTGATCAAATAATTAAAAATATTATGAGATTGCATTATTTCTCATAATCATTCACATATTGCCTGTCTCAAATTTTTGTATAGTCATCAAATATTTAGTTTATTCATCGCACGCATGCAGGATAAATTTAGAATGGCTTTATTACAAGTTACAACTTGTTTAAATTACGTAACGCTGATTTGTTATACATACTTATGTAGCATGACTTGGATATTTGGGATATGAAGTCGAACTTGATTTGTGTGTGCCTGGTGTGCAATTGTTGGTGTGAATTCGGAATGTGTGCAAGTTGGCAAGGTCAAGACTTTGTTTAAAAACTCTCGCGAAAATCGCGTTTATTGATTAGAAGTTTATAAACATTCGATGATTTGAGCGCAAACACAATTCATGTTGAACTATGCATAATTCCAACAATACTTTATTCCGAAAATATGTAATATATTCGCCATAATCGTAGTTAGTTAGAGAGTAGTTAAATTACAGAAACAATGCATTGAATTACAGGTTGTTTACATTTGTTTCGCATTCTTTTTTCATTTTGATAAAAAAGACCTTGAAATTTATTTAGATACTAAACAAACAATTTGTGCTATAATTATAGCCATAGACTTATTAAAATGCAACAACTTGTATTATATTTGCAACTATTTGGTTCGTTAAATTTGTTTTTATGACAAATGCGCAGTTTGTAATAATAAAAAAGCGACAGCATTGTTTGGTTGTTTTCAGAGAATATTATTACTTGATTTAATGATTTCTTGCAATATCTAGCGCCGGGAAACATCTGGAAGTAACCTACGACCCAGAATAATGCATTTACTAACATTATTTTCTTTAAATTTAGCATTTATTGTAATGTCCAGTTGGAATAATTGCTTGTTTAGATGTTCGTCATCTGTTAAGCAACCACGTGCAACCACATGTCATTGATGTCAAGTTTAAACTTCAACATGTCAAAAATTTGTATTTTTAATTTAAAATATGTTTTTTTTACAGCTAATTACTAATGTGTATTAATAACCATGTATCAAAACCGAATGAAATCTTCATATTTTGTTTGAATGTTACAGTCGTAAGTTGACAACATTGTAGAATCCTGACAAGTGCTGCAGACTTGCGTGAAATGGCAACACTGTAGTTATTTAAGAATGGCCGACATCACCCTGATTAGATTCGTATTCGCAATTGGTGTTTCTTTTTAGTCCGGCACGTAGCGCGATCAAAGCAACGTGCAGCCATCGAGGGCTACCAGCAATTAAGGGCAACTTTAGCTTCCCGAGTGCCCGGTGGAGCAGTCGGCCGATCACACGAATTCGTTCGCACGTTTTGCATCGCGGCCATCGCATCCATTCTAATCAGGGGAAGAGGCATTCGTTCTGCGAATCGGGATGCTCGATAAATGGTACACGATTCAGAGAATCGCATCAGTAGCCTAGTTTTCTCAAGTTTTTGTATCACTTTAAAGTGGTGATGGATTTTATCTAAAAATTTCATTCAGTAATCAATTCTAACCAAAAATCCGATAAAGTTTAACATTGAAATGTGTACTGATAACACGATGTAAAATGTTTTGGTTACAATTCAGAAACGTGCTAATGGTTTTCGTTGGGTTTACAGATAATAATTCCTTAGAATGGCAGAACCATGTCCACCTAATAATGAGGAACTTGTGAATACTCTAGATACTAATAGTTCAGATAACAAACAAGACTGTACAAGCCCTAGTCCAACAGAAAGTAGTAAGTTGCTTGTAATTCCCCTCATGTCATGTGTTAAACATGTTTGGTGTACTCTTTTAGGTACTTCACACAATATACAGCCCTTGTGTGAGGACTTAGAACATTTAGGCCAGCTTGAATTGAATTGTGAAGGCGACACAAATAAGTCATCATTTCTCAGTAATTTAGGTTTAGGTGAAAGTGATGAAAATGTGCCGCCGGACGAGATGTGGCATGAATGTTCGGAGAACCACATTGACGAACAGCCGGAGGATTTTGAGGTAGCAACAGAGGCGACGGTAATCAACTTAGACTTAAAATTTGTATTTATACCTTTAAAATGAATAATTTAACAATAGGAGGATCTTCGGGAACTTCCGCTAGTATGTAGTGATCCTGTAACACCACGTCGTAAATCTTCATTACAAAATCAAAATGATAGATACTTGGTAAGTGTAATTTTTGTGCACAAGAATTTATAACGAATCAACTTCTGATGAATTTTTAAGTTATTTCTGAATTAGTATCACACAATGTGTTGACTAGTTAATGATTAATGTCTAATCTTCTCTCTGATTTTCTATTTTCTTCATGTTGATGAAAATAAATTTATTGTTTAATTAACATTTTCAATGTTTGTTTCGACAGAGAAAACGCAAGCTAGATGGACATAATGGTTATTCAAGTAAGTTGTTGGTTATATATTTACTGTAAACATGTAAATTAATCTTCATTCTTTTAGGTGGTGCAAGTCCCTCAGAAAAATTAAAGCAGCGCGGTATTAAAGACACTACATCTCCAAATATCACCGAATGGTTACAACAATTTCAGGTTTGTACTTTTACATGCAAACATTTTATTTTTTAGTTTTGTGTTTTGAAACGTGGTTAAAATTGTAGCAATGGTCACATGCGGAGCGAATCACCGCCATCAATGGACTCATCGCGACCTGCGAACCGACGCAGGTGCGACACATGATGCAGGTGATAGAACCACAGTTCCAACGTGATTTCATCTCGTTACTGCCGCACGAATTGGCATTAGCAGTGCTGAAATTCCTCGAGCCGCAAGATCTTCTGAGAGCGGCGCAAACGTGTCAAAGTTGGAAATCTTTGGCTAACGATGATCTCCTCTGGAAGGCAAAGTGTAAACGAGTTGGTATTATTAAACTTGATGATATTCCGACGAGACGGCGCGGGTCACGTCCTTCTAGTTGCCAAAGTTCACAATGGAAGGTATGAAACGTTTAATTTACGAATAATTTTTGTGTGTTTGTTGACCTTTTTAATGTTTTGTCTATATAGGCTGCATACATGCGTCAGCATGCGATAGAAATGAATTGGCGCACAAAGCCAATTCGAACACCAAAAATGCTGCGAGGTCATGACGATCATGTGATTACATGTTTGCAATTTTGCGGCAATCGCATTGTAAGCGGTTCCGATGACAATACGCTTAGGGTTTGGTCAGCCACCACTGGAATGGTAAATTATTTGATTTATTTTAGCTTGAATTATATTTGATATTTATACTAAACGTATTATTGTAGTGTTTACGTAGATTAGTCGGACATACCGGTGGTGTATGGTCGTCGCAAATGTCCGGCCGGACGATAATCAGCGGCAGCACCGATCGCACTCTGAAGGTTTGGGACGCAGAAACCGGTGCCTGCATTCACACGCTCCAAGGACACACATCCACGGTGCGGTGCATGCATTTACATGGTCACAAGTAAGTACATAATTAGTTATAATAGCCACAACTTAAATATAAAATGTTATCTTTTATTTTGAAGAGTTGTAAGTGGATCAAGAGATGCCAGTTTAAGAGTGTGGGACATTGAAACCGGCGAATGCCTTAACGTCCTCGTCGGTCACTTGGCGGCGGTGCGATGTGTTCAGTACGATGGCAAACTTGTCGTCTCCGGCGCGTACGACTACACGGTCCGGGTGTGGGATCCGGATCGTGAGGAGTGTTTGCACACACTACAGGGTCACACAAATAGAGTATATTCTTTACAGGTGAGTTAAAATAGATATCAATTTAAAGATAATAATGGCAATGATTACTTAGTAAAAGGTCTGAGGGTTTGTTGAGTGACTCGTCTCATTCCGAATTTCATATGATAACAAATTACAATGAGCTTTTATGTTTTTTTTAACACATATTTTAAAGAATTAATGAAAATCGTGTTTAAATGAGTAAATAATTCAATAAACAGTTTGATGGTGTTCACGTCGTGAGTGGTTCGCTGGACACAAGCATACGAGTATGGGAAGTGGAAACCGGTACGTGCAAACACACACTCATGGGTCATCAGTCGCTGACTTCCGGAATGGAGTTGAGGAATAACATTCTCGTCTCCGGCAACGCTGACTCCACCGTTAAAGTGTGGGACATTTTAACTGGTCAATGTCTTTCGACTTTATCAGGTAATTACTTCAAAACAACTCAATAATATAATTGTTATCTGTTGTTATCTATAATTATTTGTTGATGAATCCATCTTTAGGTCATTTCAAACACCAATCAGCCGTAACTTGCCTTCAATTCAATACTCGTTTTGTGATAACATCGTCCGACGACGGCACCGTGAAGCTGTGGGACGTGCGCACCGGCGAATTTATTCGCAATCTGGTTGCGCTCGACAGCGGCGGCTCCGGCGGTGTCGTTTGGCGTATCCGCGCCAACGAGACGAAGCTGGTGTGCGCGGTGGGCAGTCGCAACGGCACCGAGGAGACCAAGCTGCTTGTGCTCGACTTTGACGTAGATTCTAGCAATTCAAATGCGCTGATAGCTAGGTAATACCATTCAATTCTGATGATGTGCGGACAAGCGAGAAAGACTTACACGCGCTTAACTAGCAAACAAATTACTACTGATCCAAATCGCCAACAAATCGTAATCGTATGTTTAATGAAAGGAGAAAACTGTATTGCCTTTTCGTGTCCCGTACTTATGCATTCGTAACGCGTTCACTTGTGCCGACTCGCATTCGTTTGTGTTTATTTAGCTCCATGTTGTTTTTTTCGATTCGTTTTTTTTTGGTTTTGTTGCCGTTCAATGAAGCTACAGGTGAGACATACAGAAATGTGTATATTGCAGTATTTTTCTAACGCCTAGCAAAATGATTTCAAAGCATCACAATCAAATAGTTGTTGTTACGAGGAGATTTATATTGCTGCAGGCTGTGGTTCATTTAATATTGTTTGATTTTGTACCAAAATTGATAGAAATTGTGTTTTAAGGTGTTCAGTAATTTAAGAGGACGCTACTGGCGATTTTTCAAATCATTTCAGTTACAACAATTTGTAAATAACGTGTTGAGCTTCTTATTTATAATATTTATAATTGGTTGATAATTTTTGTTATAACAAGCGACGCGTAATTTGTCTCCCAACAGAACGATACGAGTTGAAAGTCATCAAAGTCATTGAAAAAATGGTCTTGCAAGTAAACCGTTCCTAAAATGCAAGCGCGATGCGTCTTTTTTGTTCAGAATACTTGCAGAGGAACCACTATGATTAATTAACTTACTTCAACATTCATTAGAGACTGATAATTATTAGGTAATATTAAATTGTACGGCGCTGCCCATTCTGACTACTCGAACAGCATTCGTACGTCTTATATATTTTTATAAAAAAAAAATGGGAACGAAGCATAAAAAGAAAACGTTTTACCAAGTTTTTATTTTTGGTTCTTCAATTCTCATTTGTTTTGGAAAATTCGATATGATAGGTGTATGTTTCGTTATGTCTGATGTTTCCTTAATTATGTAGATATTTAAACGTGAATTGTTTTTAACTATGTAAATGATGGACTATTATTATTATCTATTATTGTTTTATACTACAGATCCATGCAACGCGAAAACCAGCCCGAATCTGAAACTGTATAAACATGATTTTAACATTCGTGAGTTTTGTTTAAGTTGCGCGATGGAGATTGAACGATGCCGATCTCCGCGTGTCACGTTGAAGATCTTCGTAAACAGACCTAGTATGTGGACATGTTGTTAAATGCTCAACTTTTGTGTCGTCAATATGTAATATGTTGTTAAGTACAACTATTATTTTACTATAAACGAATAATAAATTGTTATAAAATTGAAGTAAAGATTAATTGAGGAGGAAAACAAAATGGAAACTTCATGTTTTCGAAAATTTGTATTTCTAAAACACAAATATTTATTATTTTGGAATTGGCGAAAGAAACATCATGCATGGTAACATTCAGTAATTACTACAAAATAATAAGTTTTATTATTTTATCAACTTATATAGACATTAAGCGCGGCTTTATCAATGAACTCCAATTCAGAGTTATAATTTGCATTTTACCAAACTGAAGCTTTTCTTCATACTTGTCAAGTTCGGACAATCCTTCTAGGATTTTAAATTGAACTAGTTTTTTATCCCCGTCAAATGATACAACTTCTCCTATTACGTATCGAGATAGTTGTGGACATTTCAGTTTTAACATCTTTGGAAAAAAATGTTTAGTTACTATCAAGTTGGAAAAATATTTCTAATAACTTACCTGAAATAGAATGACATCCCCGACTTTAGGTAGCATATTTCTCATAACCAGAAGTGTATTAATTACTTCGGGAGTAAGTTTTTTGCCTAAAAATGTTTGTACTTTGCCTAAACTATTACTATTATTATTAATTCCATTGGCTTCAGAACGAATATATTCTTCAATTAATGCTGACTTTCTACCAGCCAAGTTATGAAAGGTATTATCTACATTTTTGCCTGAATTGCTTGCACAGTTATTTTTCTCTATATTGGTATCACTATTAGAATGGAATTGCCTTTCTGTGATTTCTGGTTCTTTAATCTTGCACGGTGTAGGTGTGTCTGGATGTTTAACTTTGGGTTTCCGTTTACGAATGCGTTTTCTATGTGTAACAGAGTTACACTTACTAACTTCATCATCTGCAGCATTTCCTTCAGTGAATTGTGATGTATTATCAGGTGTTAAAGATGATATTAAATACGCAATTGATGATGTTAACCCCTTTCCAGTATATTTTGATGGTTTTGAAGTAGAATACATATTTTTTGCTACATATTTTTGTTGATGTGCCTCTTCAACTACATTTGTACTTAGTATTTGAGATTCTTTTTCTATATTCTTTGTTGTAGTTGATATAACATACACTTGTTCATCCCATCTGGAGGTTTGTGCAATGTTTTGCATTTGATTTATATCACTTTCATCTGAGAATTGAGCAACACTATTGAAATATGTATCTGTATTTTTATTCAGTCCAGATACATTTTCATCAGTATTTTGTATCACAATTTCTCCTTTCTTTTCATGCAAAACCACATTATTAGTAATATTATTAACAGGTTCTTCATTTTTTTCATTATTTGTTTTTACTACTCTGACATCTGCCTTTTCTTGTGAATCATGTACAATATCACAATTCATTTCTTCATTTCTTTGCTCTCTCCAAGGCAATGATTTGTTTGACTTCTTTTTGTGATCATTCTTTCCATGCATTTCTGGTGTAGGTATAATGTTCTCTGGTAAACTAAAGACTTTGTTTAATTTCTCTTGAACAACTTCTTTGTTCTGTTGTATTTGCTTCAAGTCTTCAGTTGATAGATGAACTTCTTTAATCGATTCTTCACTAAGAGATTTCTCACTACTGAGTTCATTGTAAAATTGAACCCTGGATTTAACAATATTACTCTTATGCTTTGATTGCTTTCTTTTCTTTTTTGTTACAATATTAGAATGTTCTGGGCTTGTATCTTCCAAATTGATAGATGTTCTGGTTGATTTCAATTCCATCTCTTTTAAAGTATATTCTGTTACCTCCTCAGGTTGTTTTATGACAGTAGTTGGAGAATTTAGATCATTTGGTTTCACTCTAGTAAAGAAAATATTAATAGAGATTTATTAATAGTTTATTATTTATAACTTACATAATTTTATCATTTGGTTGAATTATTCGAATGTCTTCATTTGGTAACAGGTAGACATCATGCAATTGAAGATTAAAATTGTTTATTCCAAACAAGTTTGTTATATGATTGCTTAAGTCTTGTATCCTATTGAATTCAGAATGGATAAACGCGTAAGTAAATACGCGATGATCTTGAAAATAATGGTACATTAGTAACTTTATACGATAATTCTTATCCTTATTCATTTTGATTTTGCTTGGGACCAGTCAAAAAGGTAACCTCAAAGTCTGTAAAACCGGTAATCAAAGGACGAAAGTGGGGACGATAACATCTTGATTATATATTTGAAACATAGAATATGTTAAGCGTTTATTAGTCGAAAATCCGATAAAATTGTCTGATCTGTTATTATTCTTATATTATAAAATAATGTGTAATTTTCTTCAACTTTTTGGTGAAGATTGGTGACCATTTTAATTGATTTTACCTTTTTTTGCGCCTTTGTTTTTTGTGGGAAAATAGTTTAACCCATATTTAAAAAATAGAGCATAAATGATTTTGTAGCAAGACTTTTGGGAACTTATATCCACGATGATCATTATTTTTGGTGTAAAGCTTGTGTAAAAGTTACATTATCATATTCATACTGCCTACAAACTATCAATACTTCATTCGTGTCTTGTAAACATCCATCAACTCATTAACCTTAATAATGGCGTTAATGGATACATATAAAAAACATCAATCATGTATAATATATTGATCACTTTAAAGGAAGAATAGTCTGATATTGCATACTCAAGAGTTTCAATCAAAGGCTGAACAAAATGTCTGTTTATATATCGACCCTAGTTACACTGCTGGTGCAAAAATACTTTGATAAATTTCCATGTGTTTTTAATATTGGGGATTTAAATATAGTCAGTCAAAACCCTGATATTGTTATTGCAAAATCCTCATTAACTTATGCGTTAATGTCTGAAGTATTTGAACAATTTAACTGTCCAGCATTCGTGATGTTGAGCGATAATCCTGACAGGGATGTAGAGTTAATCGAAAACAAACTACAGTTTAATCAAGTATTTCGCTTTAAAATTCGATATTATTTGTTAATCTTTAACGGAATATATAATGAAACCGATCATTCTACACAGTTTTTCAAGAGGAAGATATTTGAATTAGTTGTAAACGTGTTGCTTCTAGTGGAAGAAAATGGCTGCGTATATTTTTACACTCACAGCTTCTTGGGAAAGTCACCATTGGCGACAAAATTAATTGCAAAACTGTGTGATTCGTATGACATAGATTCTTTTGACATGTATCCCGAAAAACAGAATAATTTAATGGGCAGAGAATTGAAAATTTCAACCTTTAACTTTCCTCCTTATATTAATCTAGGTACGTTTTGATTTTTCAAAATAATGTCTACAATTACACAATCTAATTGATTGAATTAATATTTGTAGAAACAAATCGCGGTGCTGAATTATCCGTAATCAATGAATTTTGTTTAAAATATAACTACACAAGAAAGTTGATAATAAAATCAGAACTTTGGGGTTTTTTATATCTCAATTACACCGGAAATGGGGCACAAGGCGATGTGTACCTAAGCAGAACAGATATTGCTGCAGGTAAATAAATTTCAACAAAATTCATTTTAAATACACATAAAACAATTTATAATATTTTTAGCGGGATTTTTTATGGCCCCATTCAATTACAGGGTGGAACCTTCAACATTTACCTACCGTTCGGGGTTAAACTTTTTAGTACCACGGCCCGAAATAGAAAATGGACTTGCAACTCCATTACGGCCGTTTTCTTTAGTTGTTTGGATTGTTATGCTGGTGTTTTTATTTGCGCCGATTTTTGTAATGTCAATAATAAAAAATAAATTCAATCAATACAATTTTTATAGGTAAGTAAAGTTTCTTTTTGTGTATAACTTGTATTTAAATCTAATATATAATATTCATTTTAGGTATTGTGTATGATCTTCAACATTTGAATTGGTTTTAAAAAGCTTGGCACTTTTGTTGCAACAAGGAGTGCAGTTACCTATGAAAATGTATTTAATTTATAGTGGAATCTTATTATTAAATATTTTTTACAGTTGTGGATTTTCGAGTCTTATGACAAAACCATCGTATGTATTTTGTATAAAATTATATTAGATAATGTTGTGGATGAAGGAATTACAATTTTTTGGTATAGATTTTTATTAATTTTTATGTTTTAGATTTTTATCTCATATTTCCAATGGAGAGCAATTGGAAAATAGCAATTTGCCATTTCTTGTCCCAAACATAGGATTTTTCATGTCTTTGGATATAGTGTGTATTACAATGTTTAATATTTTCCTGAAATGATTTATTTTTTCATTTACAGGAAAGATATCCTAATATCAAAACAAAATGTATTATTGCAAATGCTGCCGAAGTAAAGCCAATTCTTGATAAGACTGTCAAAGTAACAATTGCAGTGGATCATTTAAATTTAGGTAATTTTTAATAACGCTCATTCATCATAAATCAAAAAAATTACTGCAGGTTATGGGTATGGAGAATATGAGGACGCAATAAATATATCAACTCTTGAGAAATTCACCGTACTTAAAGAAGATCTGACTTTTGATTTTTGTTGCTATGTTCTTCATAAAAACTCTGTCATCTCACCAAAGCTAGATGATTTTCTTGTAAAGGTGCGAGAATCCGGCTTGGAATATTATTATCTTGCAGAAGTGAGTGTTGGTTAATCATGATGACAATTGGAATAATATTTGAGAAATGTTTCTTTAGTCTTTCAGGGATTTAGATTATAAAGAACAAGTGTACCTGCGTACTATTCAACAACTGCAAGGACAAGCAACTTACTACTTTAACATTAACACTTTATCGGGTGCATTTCTTATGTTATTTTGTGGATTATTGCTTGCCACAGTAATATTTTTCTGTGAATTAAGTAATTCGTCTATTCCGTGGCTCTAAACCTGAATTGTATGAAAAATAGCATTTACGTATTACGTGCATTGTCAACATTGAACTAATCAACCACTACGATAACAAATTTTAATTAATTTCGTAAATGGTTAGATGGAACTTAGCAGTAGAACATGTACCACTTTTTGTTCAAAGATAAAAGTTTTAATGGTTGATATAAAAGATTATAATTTGCATCGAAAAGAATATATCTGGCCTAGGGTAATTTGAGTCGAGATGGCGCTAGAATGCACTTATTTGCATAAATTTGGATCGGATTTCTCGTTGCACCAGATTTGTATTTGTATGTGAAATCACGCGATTTCGTGAAGCAGATATTGTTCGAATGGGTTTGTTATTGTCCGTTGTTGATATAATATTATCGTGTCGATATGCTGCAAGTGTCCTTCGACAAACTTGCGATTTGTTTGGTGTTCCATTCTTGTATATTGCTTTACTATTCATAACACCAATAAATCTGTACTTTTAATAAAATTGATTTGATTTATCTTTAATAAATTTAAGAGGAAATATAGTTCCGGTAGTTAATAAACAGAAAATAAAATTAAAAAGTTATTAGGATGTTTTACCAAATTCGTTTTTAAATCTGGAATCAGTTTAAAAGTGTTTGAAATTCTAATATGGAATCAACACTTTATTCTACTGGTCAGTACTCTCTTCACTCTTTTAAAACTGTTAACTCCCATTTATAAAAAATAGAAACTAGCATGTTTAGTAGCCATACTTTATGGAGCTTACATTCACGATGATCAGAATTCTATTGTGTACAACTAATTCTAAGTTACATTATCATATTCATACTGCCTACAAACTGTCAATAATTCATTCGTGTTTTGTAAACATGCATCAACTCATTAACTCTAATAATAGTGAAAATGGAACATATAAAAAACATAAATCATTTATAACATATTGATCAACTTAACAGGAGAATAGTGAGGTATTGAATACTCCAAGAGTTTTCAACAAAGTATGCACAAAATGTCGATTTATATATCGACACTAGTTGCATTGATAATGCAAAAATACTTTGATAAATTTCCGTGCGTTTTTAATATTGGGAATCTAAATATAGTCACTCACCAATCTGATATTTTTATTACAAAAACATCTTTAACATACGCGTTAATGTCTGAAGTATTTGAAGAATTTAACTGTCCAGCATTTGTGATGTTGAGCGATCATCCAGGCAGGGATGTAGAGTTAATCGAAAACAAACTACAGTTCAATCAAGTATTTCGGTTTAAAATTCGATATTATTTGTTAGTCTTTAACGGAATACATAATGAATCAGTTCATTCCACCCAGTTTTTCAAGAGAAAGATATTTGAATCGATTGTAAACGTGTTGCTTCTAGTGGAAGAAAACGGCTGCGTATATTTTTACACTCACAGCTTTGTGGGAAAGTTACCTTTGGCGACAAAATTAATTGGCTCTCTATGTGATTCGTATGATATAGATTCTTTTGACATGTATCCCGAAAAACAGGAAGATTTAATGGGCAGAGAATTGAAAATTTCAACTTTTAACTTTCCTCCTTATATTAATCTAGGTACGTTTTGATTTATGAAAATGATGTCTATAATTACTAATTACACAACCAATTAAATTAATATTTGTAGAAAAAAATCGCGGTGCTGAATTATCAGTAATCAATGAATTTTGTTTAAAATATAACTACACAAGGAAGTTGGTAATATCACGTGTACTGTGGGGTTTTCTATTTCTTAATTACACCGGGACTGGGACACAAGGAGATGTGTATCTCGGTAAAACTGATATTGGCGCAGGTAAATATGTAATAATAACATTTCAAATACTTGTACAATAATTTGTAATAATTTTAGCGGGATTCTTTTTGGCTCCATTTAATTACCGGGTGGAAACTTCAACATTTACTTACCGTTCGGGATTAAACTTTTTAGTACCAAAGCCTGAAATAGACAATGGTCTTGCTACTTCATTACGGCCATTTTCTTTAATTGTTTGGATTGTTTTGCTGGCGTTTTTATTAGTGCCTATTTTTGTGATAACAATATTAAAAAATAAATTCAATCAATACGGTTTTTATAGGTAAGTAAAGTGACTGCTTGTGTATAATTCTTATTAAAATCTAATATCTGAAATATGTTTTAGGTATTGTGTATGATATTCAACTGTTGACTTAGTTTTATCTAGTTTAGCACTTTTGTTGCAACAGGGCGTGCGGTTACCCATGAAAATGTATTTAATGTATAGTGGAATATTAATATTGAATATTTTTTACAGTTGTGGATTTTCTAGTCTTATGACAAAACCATCGTATGTATTTTGAATAAAATTATATTAGATAATGTTGTAGATGAAGAAATCACAATTTTTGGTAAAGATTTTTATTAATTTTTATGTTTTAGATTTTTAGCTCATATTTCCAATGGAGAACAACTGGAAAATAGCAATTTGCCATTTCTTGTTCCAAACTTAGGTTTTTTTCTGTCTTTGGACATAGTGAGTATTATAATATGTACTTGCTATTACTAATTTAAAACACAAAATACAACGTATTTTCACGAATCTTACACATTTTTATTATAAAACTGTGAAATATTTTCCCACACAGAAATGATATTTTTCTTTTTCAGGCAAAATATTCAAATATCAGAACAAAATGTACTATTGCAAATGCTGCCCAAGTAAAACCAATTCTTGATAAGACTCTCCAAGTATCAATTGCAGTGGATCACTTAGACTTAGGTAGCACTGCAGGTTATGGATATGGTGAATATGAGGACGCAATTAATATATCAATTCTTGAGAAATTCACAGTACTTAAAGAAGATCTGTCTTATGATTTTTGTTGTTACATTCTTCCCAAAAACTCTGTCATCACGACAAAGCTAGATGACTTTCTTGTGAAGGTGCGAGAATCCGGCTTGGAATATTATTATCTTGCAGAAGTGAGTATTGGTTTATCATGATGACAATTCAAATAATATTTAAGAAATGTTTCTGTAGTCTTTCAGAGATTTAGATTATAAAGAACAAGTGTATCTGCGTACTATTCATCAATTGCAAGCAACTTACTACTTTGATATTAACACTTTATCGGGTGCATTTCTTATGTTATTTTGTGGATTATTGCTTGCCACACTAATATTTTTCTGTGAATTAAACAATGCTTCTGTTGAGTGGCTGTAAGCCAGAGTTATATAAATAATAGCATTTATGCACATTACAAATATTATCTAAACTTCTGAATCAATTTTAATAAATTTTCGTAAATGGATAGTTTGAATTTGGAAGAAGAATATATAAAGGATTAAAGGATAAATGATTAAAATTTGAATGGAAAAGAATTTATATGGTTCAGGGTGTACAATTTGAGTCCAGATGGCGCTAGGATGCACTTATATGCATTAAATTCGGATCGGTCTTCTCGCTGCACGAGATTAGTGTTTAGAAGAGTTGTTTCTTTAGTTCCAGTTAAGACGAACGTGTTCGTGAGAGATCAGGTGATTTTGTGAAGCAGGTAGTGTGCGAATCGGTTTGTTATTGTTCGTTGTTGATACAATATTATCGTATCAACATGCCGCAAGTGTCATTCGACAGACTTGCGATGCGTTTGGTGATTTATTCTTGAATAATAATTACTTTATTATTATTATATTAAAAATTAAAACATATAATTATTAAAATAATGAATTAGTTATCGTACTATATTTCAATAAATCTTTGCTTTTAATATGATTAATTTAATTTATCTCTCTCAGTGAGAGATTTATTAATAAATAATTGTTTATATAAACAATTGTTTGTATTTAAAACAATTATTACTAGTTGTCTCTAATAGTAATATGAAAATCGTAAAAAGTATTACTGAAAAAACATGACGTTTAGAACCAATTATGATTTTATAGTGTTCAAACAGTTTTATGTTCAATTGCAAGTAAAACAAATTTATTATTAATTTTTATTATGTAGCTCTCATGACGTGGCCAAAACCTATGAAACTAACACACAATCTGCACAAGGTGCTTTCAGCACTGGATCCTTTCCTGTTTAAAACTGCAGCAAGTCATACCCGTTATTCAATTGGAATGTGCTTTGGAATAATAGTGTTTAACACGCGAACAGGGTTGAAGTACGTCAAATCATTAACATCACTGGGGGCGTAATTATTACTGGATATGATGTTCTGCTTTTTTTTTCCACGTGATAAAATAAATTATTTATAATAATCGCATTTAATATTTCATATTCCGTGAATAACTCATGTTGGTCTCTCCACTTTGTTTTGTATCTATATAATCACCACCTCGAACTCCCGACAACATGTACAACATTTTTGTTTTATATGACCACAACATGAAGTTTTGAGACAACAACAAAGCAAGAATTATAGAGTTGAAATGTGATTTATTCTGATTGATACTAGTAAACCCTCGTTGTCGTTTGTTTGTCTCCTGTGATAATACATAGAATAAATGTACAAAATTAATGTGATAAAATGTCTGTTTATATTGCAACACTTACAAGTTTAATAGTGCAGACATATTTCGACAAGTTCTCTTGTGTTTATAATATCGGTGATTTGGATATAAACATCGATAATATACTTTTAATCAGAACTTCCTTAAAGTCAGCGTTAGAAATCGACATTTTTCAACAAATCAAATGTCCAGCGTTTGTAATTTCAAGCGATCAACCTGAAAATGCTGTAGAACTCATTGAAAAACAATTACGATTCAGTGAAACATACAAATTCAACACCCGGTATTATTTATTGATACGATCAATCACAGATAATAGCACGTTCAATGCAACAAGTTTATTTCAAAGAAAAGTGTTTGAATCGATTGTCAACGTGTTGCTTTTGATCGAACAAGATGGTTGTGTATATTTTTACACACATAATTACTCAGGGAAAACGCCATTGGAAACGAAATTAATTACTAAACTTTGTAATTCTTATAATTTAACTTCTATGGATTTGTATCCTAATAAACAGAAAAATTTAATGGGCAGAGAGTTGACTATATCAACATTTAATTTCATTCCATATGTTTATTTAGGAAAGTATAGTTATTAAAACCTTGTACAATAAATTTTATGAACAAATATCATTTTAGACATGGATCGTGGCGCTGAATTATCGGTAATAAATAAATTTGTAGAAAAATTTAACTACACAAGGAAATTATTAATAACTACTGAACAATGGGGTGAAATATTTGAGAATTTGACTGGCACAGGAGCGGCGTATGATATTTACTTAGGAAAAGCCGATGTTGGAGTTGGTAAATATACACCACCTATTCAATTTACATACACTCTAGTGTAATAATACAACCAACCCTTCAACAGCAAAGCCATCACAACCATCTATAAGTCAATACAATTTAAAGGATAGTATTCAATTGTGTCATTATTTACTGTGTATTACAGTAAGTTTTTAGATTTCATTGGTTGATTTCTTGTAATTTGATAATGTAATATATTAGTGAAGTGACTAAATGCCTAAACTGTTACATCAAACAACTAATGTACAACGTACATAACAGTTTCAAATGCAGTTTTGATTTCAGCTGGATTTTTTATCTCCGAGTTTGATTATAAAGTTGATACATCAACTTATGTTCTGCGCACAGGATTGACATTTCTTGTCCCACTTCCAGAAATATCAATTGGTTTATCTACATTATTAAAACCATTTCATTATGTAGTTTGGTTCATCTTACTGGGCATCTTAAGCGTGTTAGTCATTGCTATGAAAATATTAAACACGACAACGGATAGTACTAATAAGTATATCTTAAAATAAATTTACTATAGATAGATACTAATAAAGTCCATATTTTTAATTTTAGATATCAGGGACAAAGCATAACTTTTGAGTTGACTTTTATTATCCTAGGAGTTTTATTACAACAGCCAATGAATTTACGAATAAAACTAGTTGGTTGTATCGTAATCAACTTTGGAATGTTATTGTTAGTTATTTTTTATAACAGCGGATATTCAAGTATTATGACAAAACCCTCGTAAGTGCAAGTAAAAGTGAATAGTTTACGAACTAATTATTTTATTCTAATATCACCAGATATGCTCATCATGTCTCAACAGGAAAAGAACTAGAAATTAGTGATTTGCCGTTCCTGGTTGCGCATGATTCATATTTCAACAGCATTGATATAGTTAATAGCAACTTATAAAATATATAAATAAATCTTTACATTAAAACATAAATTTTAGCTACAATATCCAAATATTAAAACACATCCATCAATAGTTGAGCCAGATGAGTTACTACATCTACTTAGTAAATCTACTTATGTATCAATAGCGATAGATCATTTAAATTTGGGTAAAAATTAATTAATTACGTAATAATTTAAGTACCTTAGCATAAATGTTTTGATTATAGGCTATGCTCTTGGTGATTTTGATATTGCAATTAATATAACAACTCTGGAAACATTCACAGTACTCAAAGAGGATTTATCATTCGATTGGTGTGTCTTTCCAGTCTATAAACATTCGGTAATATTACCAATTTTAGATGAATTCATTGTGCAAATACGTGAAGCTGGATTAGATTATTTTTACTTAGCAGAGGTGCGTATACTTATGTTGCCGCTGTTTGAGTAATAATAATATTTGTATTGTTAGGCTTTCAGAGATTTGAATTACAAAAAATCGGCTTACATACGCAACATTAATCATTTGAATGAACAAACCTACCAATTTTTTAACATCAAAACATTATCGGGGGCTTTTTTAATGTTAGTGATTGGATTGTTATTATCTACAGTTATATTCATTGGTGAATATAAAGGAAACTTTTCTTGTCGATAACAATAATTGCCTTTTTTGTAAGAAAGAAAATTCTACTCAAATCGCTTTCATGTTGATTATAATGTATTTTTTGCAATGTTATCAGGTTGATGCAAATCTGTGCGTCATGAATATAAATAAAATGTTGCTACATGTTAATTATATATTTATTCTACTGGCCTGGTTCATATGCATCAGAACTGATTTTATATCATGTTGTAACTGAAATAAATTCATTAATAATTCGGAGTTTATTGTAGGATAATAATAATATACCAGCAACGCAAAAGTACTAATCATTACAATAGCAATTGAAATAACTTTGTACGTAGATTTTTTTATGCGTACGAGTATATAATTGGTAGTCAATGTGTTAACAGGTTAACAAGATGGGAATTTATATTGCTACACTAACTACACTAATAGTGCAGACATATTTTGATAAATTTCATTGCGTGTGCAATATTGGCGATTTAAACATATTTAATAATAGTACTGATATTATACAAACAAAAATTACATTAAAATATGCGATTAAGTCTAAAATTTTTGAACAATTTAATTGTCTCGCGTTTGTAATATCAAGTGATACTCCAGATGAAGATGTAGAAATAATTGAAGACATATTATATTGGAATGAAGAATTTCGATACAAAACTAGATATTATTTATTAATACTCAACGGAATACAGAGCACATTTAATGCAACAAGTTTTTTTCAACGAGAAATATTTGATTCAATTGTGAATGTATTATTATTGGTCGAAGAAGAAGATAGTTGTGTATATTTTTATACTCATATGTATTCAGGAATGTCTCCATTAGAGGCCAGATTAATTGGAAAATTATGCGAGTCCTATGATATTAGTTTATTTAATTTATATCCAAATAAACAAGATGATTTAATGGGGAAAGAGTTAAGAGTTTCAACATTTAATTTTCGTCCGTATATTTATTTAGGTTCGTTTTTTGTTTTAGTAGTTTAATGAGAAAATTAATTTTGATTGCAATATTTTTTCAGAAAAAGAACGTGGAGCAGATTTGTCAGTCATAAATGAATTTTGTTTAAAATATAACTATACAAAAAAGTTAATGATAAATGATGATTTATGGGGTGCAGTTTATTTAAACTGGACGGGAACTGGGTCACAGGGGGATGTATTTCGAAATGAAGCTGACATAGCGGCAGGTAAGAATAGAAATTAATAAAAAATGAAAATGAAAATAGAAAGTGTTATTTTCACTAAGTGTTTGGCCAAAGAATGATAGAATAAGCAGAAATAGTAACATAGAATTTAAAAATCTTAAATTTAATTTTAGAGTGTAGGTCTACAAGTATTCAGTTATACCTGGCAAGTAATCTAATTGTTTAATAAATAAATATTAGTTAGTTATAGCGATATAACTGAACTCTTTCGAGAAAAGTTGCACTTGAAAGAAATACTTCTATAATCGACCACCAGATGGCGCTAGGATGCACTTATCTGCACTAAATTCGTAGCGGACTTCTAGCTGAACGAGATTTGTATTTACTAGAGCACTGTTTGTTAGTGGTAGAGACGGGTCCGTGTGATATCAAACGGTTTTGTGAAGCAGGTAGTGTTCGAATTGGTTTGTTATTGTTCACTGTTGATACAATATTATCGTATCAGTTCACCTAAGTGTCCTTCGAAATATGGGCTGCACGTTAGTCATTTCGTTCTTGTATTTTGCTTTACTATTCGTATTAAAAATACGAACATTTGATTATTAAATTGTTTAACTTATATTTTGAGTGCTTATGTTAAGTTATTAAAAAGTAAAATATTAATTACATTTTATTGAATTTCAATAAATCTATGATTTTGGAAAATAAAACTTTCAGAAATTTAAAACAAAATAAAGTTCCCAATGATTCTTTGCTAAAAAGTATATTTTAGATATTGGCGCAAAGGCATTTCACTCATTTGAGTTGTTAAATTCAAAGTGAAACTCTAATGTAATCTGATTTAAATATAACTTTTTGATTGGAGAGTAGATGGCGCTAGAATGCACTTACTTGTATTAAATTCACTGAACATACTTTTAAATTCCACACAAACTTTATTTTAGGTGGATTTTTTGTAGCTATTTTTGACTACATGGTTGATACGTCAACGTTCACGTATCGCGTTGGATCAAACTTCTTGGTACCACGACCAGAAATTAATAACGGTCTTGATACAATATTGAGACCTTTTGAGTTTGTTGTTTGGATTGTGATGATCACATTTGCGCTTGTATTCGTCATTGTTACTACATTCTTTAATCAAATTTATACTTTTACTCAAAGGTAGTTATTTTTAAAATTTATTAATAATATAATAATTATTTCAATTTTAATTAAATCTTCTAGATATTATGGTTTTCGGTTATCTTTGGAATTGGGGTTTATGGTATTTGGCATTATATTGCAACAGCCAGTAGTGGTATTACCTATGAAAATGTATTTAATGTATAGTGGAATATTATTATTACTTATTTTTTACAATTGTGGGTTTTCCAGTTTAATGACAAAACCCTCGTAAGTATTGCACATCATATTTTCAACCAGAACCAGATTTTTTGAATTATTTCTGAGGAAAGAACAAATTAAATTTATAGATATTTACCACATATTTCCTATGGCGACGAACTGGAAAAAAGCGACCTACTGTTTGTAACTCCAAATTCAGGCTTCTTTATGTCTCTGGATGAAGTTAGTATTCATCATAAAATGCAGGCAGGTTTTACTATACTTGATGTGTTTTCAGTTACGTTACCCTAATATTAAAACAAAATACACACTTGTTATGGAAGATGAGCTAAAATCGATCTTAGATAAGTCTTTAAAAGTAGCAATTGTGATAGATCATTTAAATTTTGGTAAAAAAATATAAGAAATATACAATTAAACTTACTTTAAATATGACCATCATTACAGGCTATGGACTTGGAGAATATGACAATGTAATTAATATATCAACACTTGAAAAGTTCACTGTTCTTAAAGAAGACTTGACATTTGATTATTGTGGTTATGTGTTCTATAAAAACTCAGTGATTTTACCAGTTTTTGATAATTTTTTTGTAAAAATTCGCGAATCTGGATTAGCAGAGTATTATTTAGCAGAGGTGAGTGTTGGTTTTACAGAATAGTTAAATTAATAGTTTATTACTATTTTTAAAGTCTTTTAGAGATTTAGATTACAAGGAACAAGTATATCTACGTAATATTAGACAACTGCAGGGAGAAACCACTCAATATTTTAATGTACAAACACTATCTGGTGCATTTTTAATGTTGTTCGTGGGTTTATTGTCTGCAATAATTGTGTTTATTTATGAAGTAAAATCGTGTAGTTTAAATTATTTACGTCGTTGTAATTTACTGTCATAAAAGAAATATACATTATAGCAAGCAATTGTAGTCTGAATCTTAGTTTATCCACGTGACAAGAGAGTTAGAAATTAAATTACAATGATTTTTGCAGTGTTTGTATCTTAAAATAATGGTTGTCAGAACAATATTCACTGAATGAATCCATTAGTTATTTGAAACACACACGTGTAGTTTATAAGTAAATAAAATAATATTTATCTCGTTTCATCATATATTAATTTTAATATATTGATAAAACGCAATGTTCCATTTTAATATAATAATTCAAATGTTATTCTGTTTGTGTGACAAACTGAAATAAATCCTTAATATGTAACTACCGATTCGTTATGAATAGAATAATCCTACATGGTTTTTGTTTTATATTTTTATGTAACAAACCACCTAAAAAATCATTAACACATTAACGCTATAGTTGTTGGTCTTTTAGCATAAAAATTAACAACCACACAAAAGTGTAAATAATTGAATAATAGTATTTATTGAAAATCATCAACATGTCAGTTTATATTGCAACACTAGCTAGTTTAATTGTGCAGAGATATTTTATAAATTTCTCTTGTGTTTATAATATCGGTGATTTAGATATAAACACCGAAAATATATTTTTAACCAGAACTTCTTTAAAGTTTGCCTTAGAAATCGACATTTTTCAACAAATTAAATGTCCAGCATTTGTAATTTCAAGTGTTCAACCTGACGATGCTGTAGAACTTATTGAAAAACAATTACAACTTAGCAAAATATACAAATTCAACACACGATATTATTTATTGATATGTACTATCGCACCTAACAGCACGTTTAACGCAACAATTTTATTTCAAAGAAAAGTGTTTGAATCGATTGTCAACGTGTTGCTTATGATTGAACAAGATGCATGTGTAAATTTTTACACGCATAATTACTCAGGGAAAACTCCATTGGAAACGAAATTAATTGGCACACTTTGTAATTCGTATAATATAACTTCTTTGGATTTGTATCCGGACAAGCAGACAAATTTAATGGGCAGGGAATTTATCATATCAACATTTAATTTTACTCCATATGTTTATATAGGTTTATTGATTTATACGTGTATTTGAATATATGTTTTAAAAACCGAATTAATTTTAGAGAAGGATCGAGGTGCCGAATTATCGATGATAAACACATTTGTACAAAAATTTAACTACACAAGAAAACTATTGATATCTACTGAACAATGGGGTGAAATATTTAAGAATTCGAGTGGTACTGGTGGAAGGTACGATGTGTACAATGGAGAAGCTGATGTTGGAGTTGGTAAAAGCATAAAAAAAACTCTAAAACGTATAAAAATACAAATTTTAAATTTGTTCTAGGTGGATTTTTTATATCAGGATCCAACAATTTAATTGATTCTTCAACCTTTACTTTACGAACGTGGTTGACATTCTTGGTTCCATTTCCGCAACCAGCAAATGGTTTATCACTGTTATTAAAACCATTCCATTTCGTGGTTTGGTTTGCTTTGTTGGGTGTTCTCAGCGTGCTGGTTGTCGCCTTGAAAATATTATACAATACAATTGAAAATACGACTAATAAGTATATTTTAAATTACGTACCTGGTAGATACTTATGTTGAACTTTTAGAAATCGTGCACAAAGTTTAACTTTTGAGTTGAGCTTAGTAATCCTAGCAGGATTAGTACAACAACCAATAAATTTACCAATAAAATTAACTGGTTGTGTAATAATTAGTTTTGGAATGTTATTGTTGGTAACTTTTTACACCAGTGCATATTCAAGTATTATGACCAAGAGATCGTAGGTATAAATAAATGTAGGTATATACTGAACGAATGATTTTATATTACTTTACAGATACGCTCCATATGTATCAACAGGAAGACAACTAGAAAAAAGTAATTTGCCGTTTATTGTTGTTGATAAGGGATATTTCGCCAGTATTGACATAGTTAGTGACAGTTTAAAAAATATATCTTTAAAACTTTTATTATATCAATATAATTTTTAGTTGCAATATCCAAATATTAAAACAAATCCATCAATAGTTGAACCAGATGAATTGCAACAAATACTTAGGAAGACTAATGAAGTATCAATTGCAATGGATCATTTAAATTTGGGTAAAAATTATGTAATTATATATGATTCTTTATGTTTATTAGCATACATGATTTGTTTATAGGCTATGCCCTTGGTGATTATGACGATGCGATTAATATAACAACTTTGGAAAGATTTACAGTACTCAAAGACGATATATCATTTAATTGGTGTGTGTTTCCAGTTTATAAACATTCTGTGATTTCACCAGTGTTAGATAAATTTATTGTGCAAATACGGGAGTCGGGATTAGATTATTATTACTTGGCCGAGGTAAAAGTTGCAAATATGTTACTAATATTTTTATTTTAATATTGGCATTTTTAGTCTTTTAGAGATTTGAATTACGAGAAATCAGCTTACTTTTCGACTATTACTCAAGTTAACGAACAAATACAACAATTCTTTAATATCGAATCATTATCGGGTGCTTTCTTAATGTTAGTGATTGGATTATTAATATCTACTCTTACATTCATTTGTGAACATTTTTGTCAAAGCTGCGTATATGACACGACTCTTGTAACTCCAAGTGAATATTTTTCGAACTAATTATGTTCTAATCAACTTCAAAAGAATTAGGAAATAGTGACCTATTTTTTTGGTCCGTGAATCTGGATAAGCAGAGTATTATATAGCAGAGGGGAGTGTCGGTTTGCTAGAATAGTTGAATTAATAATTGATTAATATTCGTAAAGTCTTTCAGAGTTTTAGATTACGAGGAACAAGTATATCTACGTAATATACATGATTAACTCATATGGAGACGACTCAATATTTTAATATCCCTACAAATATTTTAATAATGATTGTGATTATTTTTGAAGTTAAATCATGCAGCTTAAACTATTTACGTCAAGGTAATTTAATGTAATAAAAAAAACCCAGGCTATATCAAAGAATGCTAATGCACAGCGATTTACGTAATGCAACATTGATTCAAAGAAGTATTGTATGACTGTTATGATAACCTACATTATAGTCTATCTTAGGTATTCTTGGACCAAGTGACATGTGGCTTAAAAGAGAGAGGTTATATGTGACTTTTGGAGAACGCAGAGTTTGTACTTTAAAGTCAATCAATTCATTAATTATTTCGACATCACACTCGCTATTTATAAATAAATAGAATTATATTAGTCTTGTTTTTTCAATATATTGATTTTAATGTATTGTTGTAAAAAAACTAATGTTTTATTTTAATATAAGGAATTTCAAATGTAATTCGGTTTGTGTGACAAACTGAAATAAATCCTTAATATAATATGTACTTATTCATGGTGAATATGTAATAATCATACATGGTTTTTGTTTTATATTTTTATGTAACAAAACACCTAACAAAAATCATCAACACATTTTTATGTTACTAGTATCTATTTCAGTTGTTTGTGATTTAGCTTTAAAAGTAATAACCATACTATATTAACTATTATTAATAATAGAATAATAACATTTCATAAAAGAAAATCATCATGTCTGTTTATATTGCAATGCTTACAAGTTTGATAATGCAGACATATTTTGACAAGTTCTCTTGTGTTTATAATATCGGTGATTTGGATATAAACGCTGATAATATACTTTTAACCAGAACTTCTTTAAAGTTTGCGTTGGAAATCGACATATTTCAACAAATCAAATGTTCTGCTTTTGTAATTTTGAGTGATCAACCTGATGATGCTGTAGAACTCATTGAAAACCAATTGCAATTCAGTGAAACATACAAATTCAACACACGATATTATTTATTGATACGTGCTATCACACATAACCACTCGATTGATGCAACAAGTTTAATTCAAAGAAAAGTGTTTGCATCGATTGTCAACGTGTTGCTTCTGATTGAACAAGATGGCTGTGTATATTTCTACACACATAATTACTCAGGGAAAACTCCATTGGACACGAAATTAATTGGCACACTTTGTAACTCTTATAATATAACTTCTTTGGATTTGTATCCTGACAAGCAGAAAGATTTGATGGGCAGAGAATTGACTATATCAACATTTAATTTTATTCCATATGTTAATTTAGGTTTATTCATTTATACATGTACTATTTGAAAATATTTTTTAAAAAGCAAATTAATTCTAGAAATGGGCCGAGGAGCCGAACTTTCAATGATTAACAAATTTGTACAAAAATTTAATTACACAAAGAAACTTTTAATATCTACGGGGCAATGGGGTGAAGTATTCGAGAATTTGACTGGTACTGGAGCAAAGTATGATATTTACTTAGGAAATGCTGATGTTGGAGTTGGTAATAACACAAAAACGCCAATAATCGTTAAAAATTAAATCATTTACACATATTTTAGCTGGATTTTATTTATCAGAGTTTGACGATACCCTTGATGCTTCAACTTTTACATTTCGCACAGCGTTGACATTCTTGGTTCCATTTCCGGAACCAGCAAATGGTTTATCCATATTATTAAAACCATTCAATTATATGGTTTGGTTAGGGCTGTTGGGTATTTGCAGCGTTCTTGTTCTCACTTTGCAAATATTATATAGTTTAAATGAAAATACGACTAATAAGTACAGTTTAAAATATTACCCACCTAATTAAAATTTATAATCAAATTTTAGAATTCATGGACAAAGTTTTATTTTTGAGGTGAGCCTAATAATTCTAGGAGTGTTATTGCAACAGCCAATAAACTTACGAATAAAACTAATTGGTTGTGTAATAGTCAACTTTGGAATGTTATTGTTAATCATTTTCTACAACAGTGGATATTCCAGTATTATGACCAAAAGATCGTAAGTATAAATAAATTTAAGTACTGTACAAATTATTTTTTATTTCATTACAGATATGCTCCTTATGTATCAACAGGAAAAGATTTAGAAAATAGTGGTTTACCGTTTATTGTTGTACATCCTTCATATTTCGCCAACATTGATATGGTAAATGACAGCTTATAAAATATATTTAATTCTTGTATTATAATAACATTCATTTTAGCTACAATATCCAAATATTAAATCAAATCCAGCCATAGTTGAACCGGATGAATTACGACAGATACTTAAGAAAACTAATCAAGTATCAATTGCAATAGATCATTTAAATTTGGGTAAATATTAATTAATTACATGTGATAATTTATGCATAAATATTTTGTTTGTAGGCTATGCTCTTGGTGATTATAATGATGCGATTAATATATCAACTCTCGAAACATTTACAGTGCTCAAAGATGATTTAATGTTTGATTGGTGTGTGTTGCCAGTCAATAAACATTCTGTGATTTTACCATTGTTAGATAAATTTATTATGCAATTGCGTGAATCTGGATTGGATTATTATTATTTAGCAGAGGTGCGAGTTATACTTTTGTATTCGATGTTGTAATAAAAATTTTGGTATTTTTAGTCTTTTAGAGATTTGAACTACGAAAAGTCAGCATACATACGCAATATTAATCGTGTTAACGAACCAACACAACAGTTTTTTAACATCGAAACATTATCGGGAGCTTTTTTATTGTTAGTTGTGGGTTTGATAATATCTTCTGCTATATTCATTTGTGAACGTTTGTGGCAAGCATGAGTGTAAATCTCTAATAAAATGTGATACAAGTTGCATATAGTACTGTTCTAAAGCGTACTATAATAATAGCATATTAAGTATCAAGTGCGCTAATTTAGGGTCACGATACGGTAGTGAAAGATGCGTTTATAAGTGGAAATAGGAAATGTCTATTTTGACTGAATCGATACAACGGCGCGAGACGCGCAGTGTTTGTTCTTTAGATTTTAGTACAATCGTTGTCAGAAATAATATGCAAACACTGCAGTTGTTTATTATATAGCATATAATCATTTATGAGACATGAATTTTGTGTGAAGTTTCTTCACGTGACGCAAATGAATTAATTTGGTGTATAAATTAATAATCTATTTTGTGTTATAATGATATTACAATATTACAATATCTGGGTAAATGTTACATAATATCAACATATTTCAGGACTGTTTCGTGTGACATATCAACTTAATGACCAAATACCACCTATAATCACCACTTCATTGTGGCTGCGAAATGAAGGTACATTAGTTTGTTGTATATTTCTATATATATTTAATATATAGATTATTACTACTATGAAATATTTCATTTATTTGTTTTCTCTAATGATTTATCCCGGGCAGCAGTCTACATCTATATCCACAATATTAATATTATTAATATTTCTTGAAGACAGTCAACATGTCCGTTTATATTGCAACACTTGCTACTTAAATAGTGAAGGCATATTTTGCCAAGTTTCCTTATGTTTATAATATTGGTGATTTGGATATAAATTTGGAAAATATTCTTTTAACGAGAACTTCTGTAAAATTTGCGCTTGAGTTTGATTTTTTTCAACAAATCAATTGTCCAGCATTTATTATTTCAAGTGATCAACCTAATAAAAATGCTGTTGAACTCATTGAAAAACAAATACTACTCAGTACATATAATTTCAACATCCGATATTATTTATCGATAGAAACAGGTACACATAACAAAACATTCAATGCAACCTGATTATTCTAAAGAAAAGTGTTTGAATCGATTGTCAACGTGTTGCTTCTGATTGAACAAGATGAATGTGTATATTTATACACACATAATTACTCAGGGGAAACTCCATTGGAAACGAAATTAATTGGCTCACTTTGTAATTCCTATATTATAACTTCTTTGGATTTGTATCCTGACAAGCAGACAAATTTAATGGGCAGGGAATTTACTATATCAACATTTAATTACGTTTCATATGTTTGTTCAGGTTTATTTATTTATACACTTATTTAAAATGTTCTTAAAAACTAAATTAATTTCAGAAAAGGGTCGAGGTGCCGAATTATCAATGATTAACACATTTGTAGAAAAATATAACTACACATTAAAACTATTATTGTCTATAGATCGATGGGGTGTGATATATGAGAATTTGACAGTTACTGGAGCACTGAATCATGTTTATACAGGAAAAGGCTGATATTGCAGTTGGTAAAGACATAAAAAACGCTAGAAATTGTATAAAAATATAATAGGTAAATTTGTTTTAGCTGGATTTTCTTTGTCAGGAGCTAACAATTTAATTGATTCTTCACCTTTACTTTGCGAACTAGGTTGACATTCTTGCTTCCATATCCGAAATGGTTTAGCTATGTTATTAAAACCATTCCATTATATAGTTTGGTTTGGGGTGTTGGGTCGCTTTGAAAATATTATATAATACTATTGAAAATACGACTAATAAGTACAGTTTAAAATACATACCTAATTGATACTTATGATGAACTTTTAGAAATCATGCCCAGAGTTTAACTTTTGAGTTGAGCCTAGTAATTCTAGCAGGGTTATTACAGCAACCAATAAACTTACCAATAAAATTAATTGGTTGGGCAATAATTCATTTTGGAATGTTATTGTTGGTAACTTTTTACACCAGTGCAAAGTGTTATGAGCAAAAGATTGTAGGTATATATAAATGTAAATACTGAACAAATTATTTTGTATTACATTACAGACACGCTCCTTATGTTTCAACAGGAAGACAACTAGAAAAGAGTGATTTACCGTTTATTGTTGTGCATCCTTCATATTTCTTCAATCTTGACATCGTTAATAACAGCTTATAAAATATATATTTAATTCTTATATTATATTAACATTTTAGCAAACAATATCCAAATATTAAGTCAAATCCAACAAGAGTTGAACCAGATGATACAACGGGGACTCAGGGACACAAATTATGTATCAATTGCAATAGATGATTAGATCATTTAAATTTGGGTAAAAATTGTTAAATTATATGTGATAATGTATATACATTAGCGTAAATGTTTTTTTATGGGCTATGCTCTTGGTGATTATGATGATGCGATCAATATATCAACTCTGGAAACATTCACAGTACTCAAAGATGATTTATCATTTCCAGTTTATAAGCATTCTGTAATATTACCAATTTTAAATGAATTTATTGTGCAAATACGTGAAGCTGGATTAGAATATTATTATTTAGCACAGGTGGGAATTTTACTTTTGTTTCCAATGTTTGAATATAAATATTTGTATTTTTAGTCTTTTACAGATTTGAGCTACGAGAAATCGGCTTACTTCCGCAATATTAATCATGTTAACGAACAAATACAACAATTTTTTAATATCGAAACATTATCGGGAGCTTTCTTAATGTTAGTGATGGGATTCTTATGGGCTAGGTTGCTTTGAAAGTGTAAATCTTTAAGAAACAAACTTAATTTATGTTCGAAAGTATTTTTAAGATCACTTGTGTGTTTGAAGATGGTAAAAACATACTTGCAAAATCTGCAAAGAGGTAATGAAAATTTAACCGTATTCATAAGGAGCAACCGTGTTCTCAATTATGTACAGTTTAACGGGTTTGAAGTTGGAGTGCTTTGATAAAGATAAAATTATTCTTTTATAACTGAAATTATTTTATCTGGCTGTATTTTTAATATTTTTATGTAAATAAAATGTTAATGTTTCACACAATTAGGATAATTCAAGTGTGTGTGATGAATTGTTTCTGACAAATTAAATCAATGACCCAATCAATATACCAACGTAATTATCACCTCATGGTAACCACAAAACATAATGTTCCGAACAGCACTTACCAGCGCGCGTCAACCGATTAAGATCTATTCTGTGCATTATGTGTATTTCAATTATTCTCACCTTGTTCAAAATTTGGTTTAATAATTGAATCACAACATTTACAGCGAACATAATCACTATGTCCGTTTATATTGCAACTCTGACAAGTTTAATAATTCAGACATATTTCGACAAGTTCTCTTGTGTTTATAACATTGGTGATTTAGACATAACCACCGAAAATATACTTTTAACTAGAACTTCTTTAAAGTTTGCGCTGGACCTCGACATTTTTCAACAAATCAAATGTCCAGCTTTTGTAATTTCAAGTGATCAACCTGATGATGCGGTCGAACTTATTGAAAACCATTTACATTTCATTAAAACATATAAATTTAACGCACGATATTATTTAATGATACAAACAGGTACTCGTAACAACTCATTCAATGCAACAAGTTTATTTCAAAGAAAAGTGTTTGAATCAATTGAAAATGTTTTGCTTTTGGTCGAACAAGATGGCTGCGTAAATTTCTATACCCATAATTACGCAGGGGAGACGCCGTTGATGACAAAATTAATTGGAAAACTTTGTAATTCCTATAATTTAACTTCATTTGATTTGTATCCCATCAAACAAAAAGATTTAATGGGCAGAGAATTAACTGTAGCAACTTTTAACTACATACCATTCATTTATTTAGGTAAGCTTAACTGAATATTCGAAATAATTTTTTTTAAACTAACACTTTATTTAGAGAAGAGTCGTGGTGCTGAATTATCAATGATGAACACATTTATACAGAAATATAACTACACAAGAAAGCTATTGATATCTTCACAACGATGGGGTGAAATATTTAAAAATTTGACTGGTACTGGAGCAAAGTACGATGTTTACTCAGGGAAAGCTGATGTTGGCGTTGGTAAACGATAAAACGCCAATAAACGTTAATAATACGTCCAAAAATAAATAAATAAATATTTTAGCTGGATTCTATTTATCAGGGTTTGATGATACGCTTGATACTACCACCTTTACTCTCCGAGTAGGATTGACATTTCTGGTTCCATTTCCAAAATTTTTGAATGGTGTTACTATTCTATTAAAACCATTCAATTTAATGGTATGGATTGTTTTAGTGGGCGTTTTAAGTGTGCTCGTTGTTGCTCTGAAAATACTACCCAATACAACAAAAAATTCCAATAATAAGTAGCATTTAATATAAATATGTAAGTGTAAGTGTAACTGCCCAAATTTATTTTAGAAAATGTGGATGCCAATTAACTTTTGAGTTGAGCGTATTTATTCTTGGGGTTTTATTGCAACAACCACTAAAGCTGCGGATAAAATTACTTGGTTGTGTAGTAATCAACTTTGGGATGTTATTGTTAGTCATTTTCTACAACAGTGGATATTCAAGTATTCTGACTAAAAGATCGTGAGTATAAATAAATGTAAATAATGAACAAATTATTTTATATTTCATTTCAGATACGCTCCTTATGTATCAACAGGAAGTGAATTAGAAAAAAGCGATTTGCCGTTTATTGTTGTACATGAGTCATATTTCGCCAATCTTGATATAGTTAATGACAGCTATAAAATATATATTTAATTCTTATATTATATTAACATAATTTTTAGCTACAATATCCAAATATTAAATCGAATCCAAAAATCATGGAGCCAGATGAACTAGGACAAATACTTAAGAAAACTAACAAAATATCAATAGCAATAGATCATTTAAATATAGGCAAAAATGATCAAATATTCATGATGGTTTTTATATTTATAAACATAATAATTTTGTTTGTAGGCTATGGTCTTGGTGACTATGATGATGTCATTGATATATCAACTCTGGAAAAGTTCACAGTTCTCAAAGACGATTTAATGTACGATTGGTGTGTCTTTTCAGTCAGTAAACATTCTGTGATTTTACCAGTATTAGATAATTTTATTATGCAATTACGTGAATCAGGATTAGATTATTATTATTTAGCAGAGGTAAGAGTTGTATGTGTGTCTTCATTGTTTCAAGAGTAATATTTGTATTTTTAGTCTTTTAGCGATTTGAATTATCAGAAAACAGCGTTCATGCTCAATATTATCAGTGTTACTGAACAATCGCATCATTTTTTTAACATCAAAACATTATCGGGTGCTTTTTTACTGTTAGTTGTTGGATTGTTGATATCTACGGTTTTATTCATTTGTGAATATAAAAAAATCATTCATTATTGATAGCAATCAAGATATTTTTGTGGAAAATTCTGTTATATTAAAATGTTATATTACTCAAATATTCATTATTCTCATATTTAGTCAAAGGGTGATTTAACTAAGAACATTTCAGCTATATTACGCTGATTATGTACATAAAGCAATATCAATGTTTGTATTACAATTCTATTTTAGGCCTAATTTTTCTCTGGTGAAAAACTAGGGTACTGACCACGTACCCATTTATATAATTATTGCTTCATTGTGGGGAGACGTCATTTGGGACAAAGTTAATTGACAAACTTCCTTTTTCATTCTTGACATTAATCATGTTAGTAAACATCTAATATTTTATATCAAAACTTACAATAAAACAAAAAATATTAGTTCCTGGAATGCCAATATAATTTTGGCTAATGTCAATTACCCCGTTTTTTTAACTTTTAGCATTGTATTCACTTATATGATTTTAAAATAACAAGATATTCTAATGAAAACTGGAAGTGTTAATGTTTCGAAACTAAGTTTATTTGAGTTTGTTTGGTTTAATGAGCGCCGCACAGATGTCGCGAGCTAAATCATGTCAGCGACAGTGACACGAAATGTTGGTGTTGTTGGCAGTTGAAATGAGTGAAAAATAAATCGCGTTTTGACAAAATTCAAGTAGAAGAAGAGTCGATCGCCTAATCCGGCGAAAATGTCGTGGCTGAACGTAAATCTCAACGAGAGTTTATCAAACATCAAGGGCCAGCTGACAACTTTAGCCAGCAACGTACTGGCGGAGCCCAGCGAAGATGTTGCAGGTATGTGCGACTTGTATACAAGGCTCATAAGGCTCATAATCCTCTGCTTCCTATCCACTTAACCTCACATAATACTGTTGTCAACAAATGTCAGAGGAACAATTTAAAGAATTTAAACATTACTTTTAATTAATATTTCCTTGCTTACATTGGGAGAATGATGTAATTCCTATAAATATTAGGAAATATAGTATTGTCGAATTTTGTAGTGCAGTATCCAATAATTTTGATTGTTTTAGGTGCTGATGTTGATGTACTCCGAAGGAAGGTTTCAGAACAAGAAATTGAGGTAAATGAATCATATTCTAACCATATTACTGGTTATTACTGTGTTTTCATATATAATACACTGTTTTATGGGGGTTGACACTAGTTGTTATCTTGTTTTTGTAGATAAAACGATTACAAAATGAAAATCAGGAGATTTCGAAGAAAATTGCATCAAATAATCCACTGGTAAGCTATAAAACTATAAAACTACTACAATATTGACAAGAAAATTCATATTTATTGTCGATGTATGCAAAATCTGTCTAGAAAAAATTAACACAAAACGACACAGTGATTAATGTTTTGTGTATACTTGAATATCTTTTTATCTTTTTTTTGTATATGCAACTTTCCATCCAAATCAAAAGAATCACGCACCATCTGTCAACTATTTAGCCGCTGTTGATAGTAATATTTGTTGTATTCCCTTGCAAACGTTGGGGATGATGCCATATTCGTATTTTTGGCAGTTATTTAACGGTAAAATAGAATTCAGGCAAAGACTTTATTTGTGCTGGGACATTCGTTATCTACACCTCTGTTTAGGCGTTAACTCAATATTAGCCAAGATAACACTAAACCAACTTTGCTTATCGATTTGTAGTTTACATGATAATATATTGAAAATGAAACATTCAATAATAAAAGAGTACAAGTCAGAGAATGATTCTTCAACGGTTTTATTAGGATTCCAAGAAATATGAGCGGAAAAATACGTAAAATACGTTTCTAGTATAAATCTGAGACCTGCGTGCGATATTTCGGGTATTTTTATTGATTTGATAGTGTGATTCGTTGCAGCATGATTAATCTGCACGAGAGATTCATAATATTTCCCTAGTGTGGGTGCGGTTGTGTAAACATAATGTCGGCCATGCCCCGTCTGTTTATATATTTGTTTTCCGCCAGCATGCAATAATGCCAAAGTTAATATAATCGTTCTGTTTGAGGCTAATATATTATGTTATATTCGATGCTCCCCCAGCTTTACTTTTTAATATAACTAAAAATATACATGCATGGAGCGTTTTATCTTATCAGATACTCTACAGCTCTAATTTGCGGACAGGATATAAATATGAGTGTTGTGAAACAACACAATGATATTCTTTCATTCGGTGTTAACCGCGTAACGGTCGAAATAAGTAGGAGGCGATTGGTGCAGTTTTCAGGGTAAGTTTCTGTTAACAAATCAAACATTTTCAATTCAAACTCTAAAATATTCTCATTCGTGGTCCGTAAGATGGAAACGAATGAATTTAAACTGGTTTCATAAAAAACAACAACATAGAATTAGTTTATTCCGTACGTATATATCGTTTGACTAGTTGTTTTGAGTCAGGAATTATTGAGTTCCAACTTTTACAGAAACACCAAAGTTTTGCTAGTAAGTTTCATTCAAGGCAGAAGTATTGTCATTCAACATCGGATTGATTTGTTTATTATGTAGTTCCGTGCGCACATGTTTTTCTGTGCGTTCAAATTGTTGAACTTATGCGTCACGAAATTTCGATGCTCGAAACCTCGTTTTGTGTCGTCGCGACGGGCGACGAATATGCATCATTTCAATTTCGCTGACTGCGCACCGATTCATTGATAGAAACGTGATTTTACTTGTATTGAAATATTGTGAATTGTGACCTTCAACAAATAAATTTCTTTTCGTGAATACCGTAAAAATTATAATTATACTATACTTTTTTAATTTTAAGTGAAAATACTTTAGAATATGAGGACATAGACTATCGTCAAAACACTACAACATAGTAAAGAGTTTAGTAGTATTAAATAGTAATATTAGTGCCCATTGCGCAATTAGGTTAATACATCTGCAGTATTGCATTATGAAACATGCTGGTACAATTAATCGTCTCCAGCCGTCGCATGTACGTGTTATAAATTCTAATTCGTATTCTTATTTAATAATTTAAATAAGCACACTTTTAATTTATCGTAAATTGCAAAAATAATTGAATTATTTAATATGTAATGCAGGTCATTATTTAATTTTTGTTTTTGACTAAAAGAAATATCAATTAACACTTTATTTCATGATTTATAGTTATTTTTTTCGAATATATATTTTTTCAATAACACACTTTGTTGCTACTTCGGCTACCTGCACCAATAAAAGCCAATTATACAAGTAAAACACACCAAACGACCTAAATAATTTAAATGTTTATGCAGGTACGCCAATTTCGATCGATATCGCGTTCTCGCTATTTATTTCTACTTTTAGTACGACCATTGATAAGTATAAATATTCATTATATCAAGTTTACAAACGTTACAAAATGTACTTTGCCGACGGTCATGCAACTTTTAGCGTTAGTTGGATGGTGCAGTAGTACTTTTTCGAATAACGAAAAACAAATAAAATACTAATTGTCGAATAATTGTTTACATTAATTTATAATTATAATTATAATACATTCTCAGAATATATTTATTTCTATAATAGATGACCCTGTAGACAATCGCATTATTTTGGGTTTTATTAATTTATAAATCATTTTTCTGTCTGAAACCAACGCTTAATTTGGAAAATTACAACTGTTTGAATTTTGAATTTAATGAATTATAAATTTTAAGTACTTCGCTATAAATTAACATTAAAGTTGTAAATTTGCCGGAACGTTTCGTACTTCCATTAAATGAAATAATATCGGCGCATTTATGTAGTACGTGAATTTACATTTTCATCCAGCCTGCCTTATGGGAGTGGGCGATAAACCGAGCATTGTTTCCTTATCAGCCGCGCAACATGCGCGTGCGCAGTGTCGCGCGGGAAAGCTTTCGCGGCTAAAACTTAGCTTAAGTGTGGCGTACGTGCGCCATTTCAGTTTAGCGCGGGGCATTCATCGAGGTACATCGCTCAGTTAGTCGTCAGGAAACCGATTATAGCATCAAACGATTATTAAACTTTTACAATCATTTCTTGATGGTGATAAAGTTAATTTATTCGTGCATCAAAAGTACAATCACGTTGCATGCGTAATCGACTCTAGTGACGTACTGTGCGTTCGAGGCAATTCTGTAAGTTTTATTTATTTATAAAAATTAATTTTAGAACGTTTTTGCGTTTATTAGTTGTTGAAACATGACTAATATAATACGGTACATATATTTAATGATGTTTTCTTAGTAAATGATAAATACATTCTCGCTGTAATTGTATGACGTAAGAATGCAGTCTGTGATCTTGTAGAATAGAGAATTTTTGTTTCACCTTGCAAAAATTCTTCATTAGATGAAACACAAGAAACGACCGGTTAATGTGCGGCAAACAGCTTACTGCACACTATTTTCTTGCGTAACCTTACACCCTTGGTTGGCTGGGATTGTTGTGAGAGCACGTTTTGCCACCAAACACGTTCAGGCTTCATTGAAGCTGCGGTTAATTTCGTATGCTGTGTAAAGTTTTGTATTCAATTAGGTGAGCAGTAACGACCCAAATTAATTATCACAATTATACGACTGATTATTGTTAATATCGGATAATTATAAAAATCTCATTTAATTCTGGAACAAAAGAGATTTATCAATTAAGCAAAGAATTAATACTTAATTTTCACCGAAATTTGGTAAATTTAAGAAAATTTAGGAGGAATGTAAGTTTTTTTTATTGCACCCAAGTATTGTTTAAAAATTTGACCTGGTGACTTTTAACATTCGTCAACGTGTAATAATTCTTGTATTTGAATAAGTTTTATCTTATTGACATAGTATGCTCAAATGGTCACACCATAAGGTATTATTCATTCGCTCGCTGATTAAACATCCGCTTTTGCTGAAAGTTGGAAGACATGTATACCAAGCTGCCTAAATAGTCTCTTATCGCGCCGTATCACTGATAAATTATAATAATCAATTTCATTATACATTAGTTGCACAACTGTGCACACAACATGTGCATATACGCAATCGCCGAAAAAAAGTCGTACCCCATGCGGATGGAATTCTCGAAATAATGTGTTTCCGCGCACTCTACTTCTTGACATTAAGACCTTGCTGCGCACGCAGCCGTAGGTCTTGCCTCATTGTTTATGGTAGACGCTTCCTGTGACCCTCATAACTATTAATGAATATGTAACATCGTTTGTCGACTCATAGCTGTGGATGTTTTCCGATGTTATTTATGTGTGTTGTCTGTTTACCCGCTCGTTTTAATGCGCGCCATCGTTATAAGTATTAGATATTTCAGGTAAAAAGCAGCATTGCGTTCTAATTTGCATTTCACTCGACACGTGCTTTCATTTAAGTTGTGCATTTCTTTCATATATAAATTCGTGTTTTTTTAAGTGTGGTATTTGTTGTTTTTACTATGGAAATGCACTGTTGCGCCGCCATTTTGAATTCGTGAATGCTTCTTGTGTTTAATGCGCCAGGATTTATGTGACGGTGATATCGTACCTAAAAAAGCGTCGCGCACGGTAAACGAGCAAACGATAATCGGCCGCTAGAGACTCTATTGAATGTTAATAATAACTGATAAGATATCATGGACTGTGTGTGAAACGCGCGCCGTACGCTCGCCTGTTGAAGTACAAATACCGATGATGTTGTATGCAAGCGGCGCGACCCGTTGGTGTGTGGCGTTATCAGTTTGTAATTCCGATTCGGTTTACCTTCACTTCCCTCCGCGTCCAAAGTGGGTCCTTCCACCAATGGCGCACCAATGTACTCTGTACATATAGACACATTTTCGTACCTCACACTGCACCTTTTCGTATTTATTTTTGTCGGCGCGTCCGTTGTTTGTATGATTGCGTGGTGTTTAAATAGTCGCAGCAACGACAACGCGACCGCTATTTTCTTTTGTTGATACAACCAAATTTCGAGCAACGCAAACACGGAACACGGAGACGTGAACGTGCCGAAAGACTCATAAAATTTACACCACCGGAAGATTATAACTATGCCAACATTCACGGTTTTACCTGAACACAGCGATAAACTTATACTTGATAGACTTTATGTCGCTGCATTTTATCTAATTCATTTGTTTTCTTTGTTTCTTTTTTGTGGAAAATTAGGACGAGTGGTCATGGGAGGTGACGGAAAGCAAGTCGGATACACAAAACCAACTGGTTTTGGACGATGCGGCACTGGAGGCAAAAATTCGCGAACTCGAGCGCGAAAAGGTGGAACTGGTGCAGAGTTTGGACCAACTTGACCAGGACTGCCAAAGCACCACAGATAAATTGGTGGCGATGAAGGATGAACTCCAGACGGAGAATTCCGGTCTAAAATTGCAACAACAAGACTTGGCTAAAGAAAACCATCTCCTTAGAAGCAGTATTGAACAAGAGCAAAAGCGGATAAAATTCTTGGAGTCTGAGAAAATTAAACGCGATGAAGTAATTCAGGCACTACAAAGTGAAATTGATCAATTCCGGCGAGAGTCTAGTGATATTGGTTCTCCAAGGGTTAGTATTGAAGAGATTAATCGGCTTGAAACGATGGTTGCTGATTACAACAGGCAAATTGCGATTTACGAAGAAGAGTTGCAAAAATTACGGCGGAGCACGGATTCAGATATTCGTAATTTATCTGGTGATACCACCTCTGTGACCACTACTGGTCATCAGCAATATATTGATATATTGGTTACGGCACTGAATGGAATTGATTTCAACTTGAACAGGTGGAGTGTTGCGAAAGGTGAATCAGACGATAATATGAAAGATTACGATAGTCTGGTGACGAATATCGTGAATGGTATACTGGATTACAAATGGAAATGTGAGTCGATGCAGGAAGAGATCAAAAATGCAGCGGCCGAAAAAAAACTTCTTTTGGCTGAGAAGAACAGCGAAATTGAGAAATTAATGTTGAATACCCAGGAACTGTCCAGTTCGCTGAAGACGAAAAACAACGAATTGAAACACTACGAAACTGAGTGTTCTCAACTCAGTGATAATAATGAGGCGTTAATTGCTCAATTACAGGAATCTAAACAAGCTGACATGACGCTACACACTATTCCCGAAATGAATGAACATCTCGACGGGCAGTTGGAGAAGTGCTATAAACGCATTGATCAACTTGAAGGTGAACTAGAGGAAACTCGATCCAATATGATTGACGACCTGAAGAGTCAACTGAGTTTGTGTAACAAAGATCTTGTAATAGCAAAGGAGAGCCTTGAAGAATGGCAGAGCAATTTTTATAAACTAGATGATGAGAATAAGTCTCTGAAGTCATATCTGGAGACAATCCGGCGTCGATTTAGTGAATGCGATAATGAACGCGAAGAATTAGAAGATCAGGTTAAACTGGACAATGAAAGTATGGCGGAGCAAAACTTGAATTTAGAAACACTTCAAGAAGAAATTGAAACGCTCACAGCCAATATTTTAGAGCTTCGACGCGATAATACCAGGTATGTTGCCGAAAGGGAAGGATTGGAGAGGAAATTGGAAGAAGCGGAGCAAGAGATTATGGATTTGAAGGAAGAAATGACCACCGAGATTGAGCAATCTTTGAAAAAGGACCAACATTTGTCTGAATTGAATGGCACGGTCGATGTCATGCAGCAAAATATTATAAAGTTGAAAAATCTTACAGAAAATTTATCGAAAGAAAACGAAGATTTGACCCTAGCAAGATCGACTTACATTTTGCAGTATCGTCATTTCAAGAAGGATGTTGAGGATTTAATTCTATGCTACAAAGATTTGAAGGCTTATCAAAAGAATGATGATAATATGGTGCAGTCACTAATCCGGGAGAAGAATGAATTGATCAATCAGTATAACAACATGCATTCCTATGAAGCTGAGAATTCTAAATTAATGCTGACCATTACTGAACTCCAAACGAAAATTGATTTAATTGAAAAAGAAAAATTGCTGCTTCAGAAAGCTTGTGATGCGCATAAAGGTGAACAAGAACGATTCCAAACATTAATAGATGAGCTGAACGCGTCTCGAAATGAGATTATCAAAGTTGTGCAACAGAAACATCAAGAAAATATTACATACCATGAAGAAATTCAACGTCTCCATCAGTTGTTGGTCATCGAGACTGAGAAAAGTAAAACGTTTGAAACACAACTTGCAGAACTTAACGGAACATCAATTTCCTCTGAAGATCTGTTAGCGAAAGAAAAAGAATTGGAGAAACTCACTGAACATGGTGATTTTCTACGCGAAAAATGTGCTCAATTGGCAGAAGCCCTTTTAGCTGAGCAATCAATAACTAAGGAATTGTACGCTGAGCGGGTGGTTCAACAAGAGAAAGAAGCTAATTTAACCAGGCAATTAGAAAGTTTGAGACAACATCTAATCGAAATTGAAGAGATGTATACCAAGGAAATTCAAACAGCTGAAACAAAATGCGCAGAAATGCAGCAAAAGATGCAGGCGATTGTTGAGAAAGAAAAGAATTCCAGCACACGATTCACATCGGCGAATATTCGCGCTAATCAACAGGTGGAAACTTTGCAGACCAATCTACAATTGGTGACGAATCAACGCGACGAACTGAAACGCAAAATGTCGGAATTGGAGGATCAAATGGAGAAGCAAAACGCAGCGCTGTGTAATCTGCAGATTGTCCTCGAACAATTCCAACGTGGTAAGCCCGGCGTTCTTATCTGCTTCGTTCGCTTAATCTTGGTATCATTATCACAAAACACTTAACACGTCTTTGTTTGTTTTCTCGCACAGAAAAAGATAAGGTAATCTTTGAGGAGACCGAACGCGTTCGCCGTCAGGTCGCCGTCGAAAAGAGGATGCAAGCGGACCTGGAGACGACGATCGGCGATTTGAAGAAACAACTTGACGAAAGCAAGATGGGCCTCAAGGCTGCCGTACGGCTCAGCGATCAGGTAGAGGCTTCCAAGCGGCATGTAGGCATGATGAAGGAGGAAGGTACGTAACGCACGAAATTGTTTTTGCGTGCTAGTTTTAGTATTACTATCAGTATTGGATATTTTCACGAACTGACAAACTAGTTGTGTTTGAGGGCCCAATATCATCTGTAATTCTGGGTGTTCTGCAAGCACGCACACTCAGAGTATCGGTTGATATTATAGCGTTCAGACATACAGTCCATCGTTCATCATTAATACAATAATATAATTATTTTCAATGTATTATGAACGTATGTAGTGTGTTTAGTTCTGTCTCGTCTTGTTTTTTTTTTTCTAATCGTAACACACAACTTGTATGTTTGTCATAATATGCACGCTTTCGATGTTCTGTGCTTTTTAAATCTCATTTGGTAACAGTGAGCTGTTGTTTATAGACTCAAGTTACTAAGTGGGATACAAGAAGTGCGGATGTACACAGCACCCTTATTTTTTGCATGCACAAGTTAATATATTCAAACGCAACATTTGGCTTGCACACTCAAAAGTTTTGTTGCGTTGTTTGGCTCGTATGCGATGTTTAATTTTGATTTTTCAGGCATGTTCGTCGACTAAAACGCATGAAAACAGGTGTCTAGGTGTGAGTATTACATCAGGTACTGGTAATATTGGCACGAACAATCGGTATCTGTGTAAGACTCACGCTTAGCGTCTTGCATTCAACACATTCCACCACAGCAAGCAAAAGCATTGATTTTATTTTGTTTGGTTTGAATTTTTTGCATGATTTATTTTGTGGAATGATTTTAACGTCTTATTTTGTTTGATTTTAGTTGCAAAACTTCAGCAGCAATTGCTCAAATCAGAAGAAAAGAACAGCAAGCTTTTAAATCAGACCGACGGACGAGTTGATAAGATGCTCATTAAAAATCTGGTTATTGGTCTTGTGAATTGTAATAACGCATTGAACAAGGATCAAAACCAAATTTTGAAAATTATTTCCACCGTGCTAGACTTCAATCAGCAAGACATCGAAAAGGTTAATCTGAACAAGAAAGACCAGAGCACTTGGTTTTCGAGTCTCCTGCATCCCCAGGCACTGAGCGATCGCAATATGTCGTCAGAATCGTTATCGCAGGCGTTTGTCAAGTTCTTGGAAGCTGAATCCAAACCAAGGAATCTTCCTAATCTATTGGACGCCTCAACGGTGACGGTAGGTGCGGCTTCCAAGGAGGGTGGTGAAAGTTCAAGTAGTAATAGCAGTAGGAAAACCAGTGTGCGGCAATCGCCATTACTTTTAAACGAAGTTGTGCTGCCAACGTTTGCTGATTTCGCGGCGAATAGAAATTCCAGTTCTATTTTGAAAGATGTGTTGAAGGATAATACAAATGTTAGTTGAAAATAAACCCTGTATTCGCATTTTTATATTGTATGCTACATACGTAGTTATCAAATTTAATGATGTATTATTTAAATTAAAATGTGTAACGTTATTATTTACCGCAGATATTTTATTAATTATGTACAAAATTATAAATTACAGTTATTTTTACACAATAATATATAAATTAAAAGTAATGAAGCCGCTCGATCTGTCTGAGTTTCTCAAAATTTGTTTAAAACTGCTACCTGCTTCAACAAACTAAAGATTTGGTGACGCTCATATTGATTTTTTAAATTATTTTTTATCAACTTAAAAAGTAAGTAGATATAAATGGATGAAGTGTTTGGACCAGTGTTAGCAGCAATACGATTCTTCGTAGCAAGCATAGAACACTTCTACTGATTAGAGTGAGGAGTCACCTTGTCTTCAACCAACGTGATTTTGTGACGTTGTCATCGCCTCTGCGCTTGTGTTGTTGACGCTGCGTGCATATCAGTCTTATCGCGGATATATTCGCGACCACATCTCCCAGTTAGCCACGTTTCTTGAGTCAGTTTATTTTAGTGTTGCCGCGAACATATTCGTGTGCGCATCTCGCGACTTATCGCCTTTTTGTGCGTTTAAGTCGCTCTACACTCGCCCTTCATTCAACGGCATTGAAGGACAATTCGTGCATGTGCTGCGCTAATACTCTATATTCTGTTCTTTGGTGATTTGTGTCGCATGGAATATACCCAAAACGTGTCGTAAGCCGTCGGATACCAGCTTGACATTGGTAAGCCTAAGTCGCAATTGAAAATAAAATTAGAACGAATCAATCAATTGTCTCCGTCGGGCACCTTCTTAAACAGGACTTGATGACATCTTACAAATTTTTTAAAACATGTTCTTTTCTTGTTTCATAGCTTGGCTTTGTTGAAGAAAGTCTATAATCAAATGATTTTTATAGGCAATAAACCGTCGGATAACGCATGATTTTATCGCAAAATACCTTTCGAGATTGTGGTTTCCCACGCGTAGATCATGAATTATAACTACAAACTGCGTATGTGAATTGTTTCTTATTTTCCGTTGTCGCGATTAAAGTACAAATTTGGACTTTTGTTTGTTATTCAACAATATGTGTTATCGAAGGAAATTGGAATCCGTTTAAAGAGAACTATAAATTCTTTAATTTTCCGCGCGTAAGAGAAAATTAATTTTTGCCATCAGAATTAATTTATATGACAGGCTCTAATACATTCATCAATTCAACCTGTATAATGACAATAGTTATAAAAATATACTTTTTTGTTACGTGCCACGAGTATCGCGATGTGCACATACATTCATATTGCCGTGTGGTAGTATCAGTGCGTTTCGCGCGGGTGGGACTACTTTTTATTCTTATATCTTCGAGTTTTCCGCCTCTCGCCATTTCTTGAATTTTTAATTTGGTACATCTTGTTTTATACAAATTATAACCAACCTGATTGATCAAATTTTGAGGAGCGATTGTTTATCATACGTGGATAGTTTGTAAAACGCAGGGGCGTAGCTACCGCCGTATTTGCCGTATCAATTATACGGGGCCCCCGGGCCACGGGGGCCCCCAAAGTGTGTAAGGAAAAACTTTTACCTCCATATAAGGGCCTCCAAAAAAAATTTTATACGGGGCCCCGACAAAGCCCCCTACGCCGCTGGTAAAACGTGAGTAAGGTCCTGTCGGCCGTCGGTTTTCTCAAACTATTGAAAATCTAAATTGAATCAATTCTGTACTAAATTTTGCATTTGATGCAAATTTGATAATAAGCCGGTACAAATAGGGCACTATAAGATATTTACATTCAAATTAAACAATGCTTCAAATTGAAATGTGAACCAACTTTAGCTTTTCTTGCTGCTAGACGTGCTTTTGCTTGTGAATACGAGTAAAACCAACTTTTTTTTATTGCGTTGCAGCCTGTGCACGTGCCCGTCCATGTCTCAGTCTGTTCATATCATCGCGCGGCGGGCAACGTTTCTTAGAATTATATTTTGACTGATTGAATCATGATTTATAATTTGCGCGTCAGGGATTAGCAATTAAATTATATAATTGCAGAAAACTGCAATTAATAATATACACCACTATGTTTTCAAGCACTTCAACAAGCCTGTAAGTAATATTGATCGGAAAATTGACGTAGGCAGAATCGCTTGTAATGCAAGCGTTTTCCATCAGGACTAAGCATCGTTGCATTCTTCGGGTTGTTCTAACTCACTTTTTTTCAGTTTCAGCATTAGCTTTTATTTTCAATTGCCTTTCATACTGGTAAGTTTACAAATAAGGCATGGTTATTCTACCAACCGACGCGTAATATGCGATTCCATGATCACATTCATGATCATCATCACATTCTTCAAGCGTATCTTAAGAACTCAATAAAGTCGCGTGCCGTCGGCAGCTGTCTCTCCCCTCCGAGCAGCCTACTCGTCTACGTATATTACTCGTTGGCTTTGCTGATAAGTTCAGTTATCCATTATAAGCAACTACAAACACATTTTTAGTACTTTCCTTCAAATATTTTGAATTGTATTTAATATTCTAGTTTTCTTTTTGCATTACCTTGTATAATAATTTCATTACAAGTTCAGAGAAAATTGTAAAAGTTATGGTTTTTAATGCCTTTCTTTTAATTGTTTGTATTGTATTTTAGAATGTAGTTGTATTATTTTTGAGACACCCTGTATATAAGTTTTTCCTGAAAATTGGCTATACTATAATCAGAGCCCATTATGGTCGTTCTCTTTTAAAGGCTTCAAATTTTTTTTTAAAATACATTTACTTGCCTTTTGTAACAACCTGTATATTTGTTTCCTTGATTGTCGAGTGAAAACGAGCAAGGTCAAGAGTTTTTTGTTTGCACTAAAACGCGTTGTTCATCACAACCTAGTTCTGTTTTGTCCGATCATTAGGTATATCGGTTTATATTCCACAAACAATTAACGGCATATATAGGAATCGCGTTAAATGTTCATCAATCGCATCAGCCGTCGCTGATTATTTTTCACCTGTGAAATACTGAACTCAATTTTGGAATAGAACTTCTCAATTAGCAAATATGTAAGTAAAATTAATTAGGAAATTGTCGTCGCCAAAACGGGTTGTGTCACAAGTTTTCTCCAACAAAACAAGATAATCAATCGCGAATCTTTGTTTCCATTACGCGTCGCACTAATATACCGTAATTAATTTGCAAAATCTATTTGCATTTCATCAACAATTAACGTGTCTTGGTGTAAATTTATGGCAATCCGTCGACCGTCGGCTACCATCTCAAGCAGGACTATTAAAAAAATAATATTAATAATAATTTTATTATAAATTGTTTTCGTTGTATAACATCCTGCCCATTTCTGTATCCTGGTGTTACGTGGAAAATAGATTGTCTTTGTAGTTTTGGTTCTTATCTTTCTTGAACTTTGGATTTTCTTTCTCTAACACTCTGTGCATTCCTATTCATTGAGTGAACATAAGGTGTACTTGTAGGTTTTGGTTGTTTTTCAATTGCAAGTTGCAGTTTTTTGTTTGAGACACTCTGTATCTTAATTACTTTTAACATCCATGCATAAATGAGCTGTAGGTATTTGTTGTTTTGGAATGTCTCGTTTCGAACTATGATTTTTTGCAAAATGAAGTTGTTTTCCTTTTGTAACACCCTGTATATTAGTTTTCTTGATTGTCGAGTGAAAACGAGCAAGGTCTATAGTGTTAAGAGTTTTTTGTTTGCACTTTAAATTTTCCTTTTGTATCACCCTGTATATTTGATTTCATTTTCAATAACGTAGAAAATTAAATGAAATTTGCTAATAGTTGCTTGCTTATATGTGCACGACTATGCTGCTTGTAAGTCCTGTTTCATATGGTGACATGTATTCTGTTGACTTGTAAAGTCTAAACTTGTATTCTACCCGTATTGTTAATAAAGAAACAGTAAGATATATTGACTTCTTTGATTTGTATGTACGCCTTCTATCATTTCAGTTCCCTCTATCAGGGGATGATCCCCTCTATAAAAATTGTTAAGGTAACCTGTATGATTTGTGTACTCCTTCTCTCATTTCAGGTACAGGTCAGAACTTGTAAGAATATTTTTAAGTGTCACCTATCTTGAGACGACTTAAAACTTAGAAATATTTTAACAAGACCTTATAAGGATTGTCCTTATAAGAAGTTCCCCCTCTCTGGGGATGATTCCCCACCATAAAAATTGTTGATATGCCTGATAATTCCGGGGATGAAGCGCAGAGACATCGTAGCTGTAGGATGGGCCGGGAGCAATGGACGCATCGAAGCAGTGGACTGTCTAACGACACGGGCCAAAAAATTTAAAAATCTGATCCACTCCTGTTGCTCTTTCTTCTATCTCCTCCTCTTTTCTTTACTCTCTGTCTTCTCTCTTCCTTCTGTCTTCTACTCTTCTCTGCTATTCATTTTTCTACTTCTCCTATTTCTCTGTTCTCCGTTTCTCCACTTACTCTTTCTTACTTATCTCATTGCATTCAATTGAATTGAAACTTCTCATATATTTCGTTGCAATTCATATATGCAACCCAAATTACACCGGTTATTTTTATATTTGAGAAAAATGCCTTCCATACCTGAGATTCGATCCGTGCCTACTAGCATACCAGCAGGTGCACGTATCCACTCGACCACCGAGTGTTTTTATCATTTGTATTTGATTCTTCTATTTATGTTTTTACTTTATTCAACTTTTAAAAACAATAACACTGTGCTAAGTTTAGCTATGTTGCCCACGCTCTACGCGCATAAGACTTATATGCAATATAACTTAATACGCAAATCCTGAAAATGACAAAGAGGATGATACCAAAAAGAAATATGAAAGAGATTGTAATATTATATTGTGTTTTATTTACATTCATTATATAAAAATATATACAATTATTCATATCGAAAATTACCATAGCTATGAAATTCTGAGAGCGTAAAGACTTAAAATACGCACATCCATAACACCGTTCCAATAGATATTTCAATAAAACATACAATGCAACTTTATACTAGTCAAAATTAAGAACATATCATATGTATTGTGACATACGCAAATTGAAACTATACGGCCACTTGCGACAGTACTAAATATATGAAAATGTATTACAATACAAAAATAAAGAAAGACTATAAGTTTTGTCACATTGGTTACTA